TGCATCACATGTACGTATAGTTCATTATGGGTACTGGTATAAACAATGGTGCATTTTTGTATTATTACATATTACCCTTAATCTAGCTGGATCTATATTAATAATTCTCATGCACGTGTACACAAACACAACTACACATGTGGTCTTATTCGTTGTGATAAACTTTGTTTTCATCCTGGTGGTTCTGTCACTTTCCTGTCTAAGACAATTTTAATAGAAACAGTCATATCTATACGTCAGTCTTGAACTCATAAGACCTATCCGAAATCATTCCTACTCCATTTATTTGACCTTACACTAAAATCATTGGTTTGTTTATACACTGGTAGGAGTGCGGTATGATATCGTCCTTACCGAGGAAACTTGAGTATTGTAACTGTCAAACCACTACACCATACATTCCAAATACACCTTTGTTGCCTACCAAGCACAGTCTCTATTTATCTACTGTGTGTTTTCGTATACTTCGACATCAATACATAACAATGACTGATAGTCATACAGGGACGAATCCGCCCAGGTCTGGAGGCGTGCCAAATGAAAAAACCAGGAAAACTGCAGTGTGGTTAGGGAAAATTCCCAACACAAGAAGGATGTTTCTTTAAAAAAATAGCATGTAGTCTTCTAAATATGCCTTCAGTGCCTATCCTTCGTAATTTATACCTCCCTCAATAATTCCCACTGATCTGACACAATATTCACCACGTCACGTCCACCATAGGCTAACAAAGTGAAAAATGTTTTATTTCATTTTCGAAAGTTGAATATTAATATTGCTATTATTCAATTGCTTGATTTTTTTAATACTTTGTCAAAATTATATTTTCCTGGAAAGAAAATATCTTCGTGTATGAGTATGGTGGCCAGTGCAACGTCTGCAAAAGAAATTATATAAATAAAAGACATTTTCACTGAGTGAGCCCTCTGCGGTCACTTCTATCACGATGGTAAATCACTTTGGTGGTACATTGCGTTCACCCATTATTCCCAACATGGGCCATGTGTATACCCAATATGTATGTACTTTATTGTCATATATGTATGCTGTAAGTTACATTTATCATAAAAGACCTGTGATACGTATTTCAATATGACCTCTCGGTGCGGTATACAATACCATGCCTATTGATTTGTTCTTGCACTTGACCTTAGTCAGTGTCCAGGTGACTGATTGGTCAAGCACGTGATACTTGACACTTTGTGGTCAACTGTACAGTCTTAAAACCACCAACACTAGAGATCAACATGGTCTTTCGTGTAATTTTGTAGCTATACAATCCTGTGAAGTTGGGAAAATCGGTCAATAATGCTGACATACATGTATACTCTCGCTTATTAATGTAATCAACCTGGAAATACGATTAATTTCGGATAATGATTGAAGGCAAAATCAAATCCACTACGTGTGAATTTATACAAGTCTCATTTATCGAAACCTCAGACATACACGAACATTTTCACGTCAACTGTGTTGTGACTTCGTTGCATACAAACACCATATCCGCTTTCCAGGAAAGTCGGCCAAATATCAGACAGCTTGTCGTCATCAAGTTCAGTTTACAAATGCTATACTTGGTATGAGTTAGGTTATAATTATAGTTGTAAATTCACTATTTAATATTTTCCCTAATCTATTATTTTTCAAAATTATAATCATTCGTTAGAGATATGACAATACTTAATACTGTCATTTACAAAATTAATTCTTTATGATTTATGCAGATGAAAACGCCCTATGGATAAGGCGAAGAACGTATTTTGCTTTCTTTTCCTCAGTACATCATCGTACAAAAGAACGCAACGTTAACTAGTGGTGCAAGCAAAGACCCCATACAGTTGGCATTAGTGTTGATCGCTCGCCAAAGTAAGAAGGATTATAGGTTATATACCCGGATCAGAACAACCAAATATAATTAAATTCGATACATTAAATAATTTGGTTGCAGGAACTAGTTAATCTGTTGTCTATATAACGTCACCGGGGTAACTGTCATGTTACTGTGTCCTGAAAGTGATATTTCATCGTGATAGATGATGCTAAAAGAAATTCAGTACATATGTTGTCCTTCTCGCTTTGTATATTGACAAAAATGGTAACAGGATCTTAGAACATTATTTCTATAAGGTGTGACGTGTAGAATCGTGTCCCCGTGGTGTTTCGCTTTGAGGAGCTTTAATCTTATATTTCACTTTGGCTAACTCTAGAATTAAGGCCATATGTTATCTTTCGTTTTTGCCGTTGCCTGGCGCTAGAATAAATGCTATATGCTACCTTTCTTTTTTAAATTGCATGGCACTAGAATTAAGGTTATATGCTATCTTACACATTTTACCATACACAACAAGCCAGAACACTAAACATAATGCATTCATATTATTGTACTTCACATTGAAATCGATGGGAAATAAAAAAACTATGAAAGCCTTTACAGCATAACTCATCTCTTGTATTGAATGAATCACATGACTTCAAAGCGTCCTTAAAAGAGAGACCACTCATGTCATTTCTATTCAATTTCGAACTGGATTAATCATCAAGGACGAAGGCAGTTTTATTTACATTGGTCGTAACTCTGTAAACAGTCAGCTAATACCCTGCTAATATGTCCTGAACTCATCGAAACGTATTAACAGGTGAGCGACATGACCATAGAATCCGACAAAGTTTGAGTCCAACAAAAATTAGGATATTAAAACCATAAACTTGATCATGATTTCCTCGTGGAGTGTCCCCACTTCTATTCCTCAATCCATGCACCAGTTCTACTTCTGAAATTTTATTGACAAGGCCATGTCAAATCAAAGGTCAATGTTTGCGGGACTGTAGAACCCGAGATATAAGGAATCATAGATAAAAATTATCGATAGCACAAAAGGCCATGATAAATAATCACAATAATACACTTGACTGATAACCGCCACATCCTTTATATTATACAATTTCCCACTTCAGACGTCGTAGTGTGTCTTTGACTGATAGTTAATAACATTGTACATTTTCAAAAGCGTTATGTTACCGGAACCAGTGATTAGGCGCTTTAGAAGGTTGAGAAATTACATAAAAAAATAAATCGAGAAAAACAGGTTTGGCAACTCTACATGAGAAACCCCTTAGACTTGTCAAAAGGTAGAAAGATAGAACATGTCTCCAACATCACGTCCAAAGAGTGATGTACATTCGAACGATCATTGAATAGACTATAGCAAACATAACTGTACGCACTGTTTGAATTGTTATATTTTCAAGCAATGAATTAGAACCAGTTGAGATGTGATAAATGTTTATTAGATTATTAATAACAATAAGAAGAAGAAGAAGAAAAAGGGTAAATTTAAGAATGGTAGAGATGGATAGCATTGGCAGGGCCATAGAATACTTGCAAAAATTGTTGTCTAGAAAGTCGAAAGAACTTTTTATCTTCTGGGTAATAGACATTTGGAAAATGTTAACACGACATGTCATACTTGCGACTAATTTTCATGACATCTCAATGATACCCGAGCCATGCCTACTAAGAGATGTCAATATTAATAACCCTTGTCTATAGTAGTTAGATAATGATACCAAAGCCTTGTGCCCAATAGATCGTATTAAATTTTAACCAGTTTATGTTACACAATCACTCTGTGGTCATGGAAAAGGCGATGGACCAGCTGCATTTAATATATAAAAAGGCGAGCCATGAAATTTGTATATGGTTCTATATTATATTTTAATATATAAAAATGTAAAAAAAAATATCAACTTCAGACGATGTGAAGGTGATCTAAATCGACATGAAGGAGTTTTCAGATTAAAGTTTGGAAACATATCATTTCAAAAACAAAATGGTGAGGCAACAAAACACTAACTACATTAAATGATTAATATGTTTTTTTCATTTTCTTATTATTATTTAGAAATAACCATTACATTGACCTTTACAATGCAGTTTCGGTCAGTGGACTTCACTCTCACTATGAACTCTTTTCAATATTCCTAGATGAATTGCTCTACCACCTTGGCCAAATCATGAATATTGATAAGAAATCCCAGAATATAGCGACTGAAAAGTTCGATACATTTCCCTACAAACATTTCACTAATTTTCATTCGTGACTAACGAGCATAGGGCGTAGATATCATATATGTATTAACAGATAGGCTGGTTTCAGTGTACTAGTTCTTGGACATTAACATAACTAATCTAGAGAGGAAGTTGGTTTGGCCAATGACTGATCGATTGTGTGTATGACGCAGCAGGGGTAACGAATGTGTAAATAGTTGTGGTGTGTAAGTGTGCCACGAATATTTAAAGTATTGTCGACTTAACGCCTCACCAACTGTCTATAATAACACACACACACAAACCACAAACACGCACATACACACGCGATTGTCGGACATTTACATGTATCTTTGTCTAATGTTATGACCGATTAAGTGTACACTCATGTCAGTATTCCTGGCATCTGGACACTAAGACAGGAACAGAGAATAACAATGGTTATTATGTAAATACCGCTTGACTGGCCCGAGACATTGGTAGATATGTAAACGTAGATCTGAAATTATCCTTGTGTTGTATTATCTCACTTCTTGCTTAACTCCTGACTTAAGACCACCAAAACATCATAGTTTTACAATAGTCATGAATAAATAAACCATGACAAAATATCACGGGGATAGGATACCACTGAGTGTTTATAAATAGACCTACTTTCCAGTGGTAATAACAAATCACTCAGGGAAATCCTCCAAATAACAGCTGTATATCAGGATAATGTAGAATTAGCGACATATGGCACACTGTCAACAAGGAGCAGTCCGATAAAGCAGTAACACTATTCTCTGTAAACAAATTAGTCCGGCTGCACTTTATCCGGAAGAGTGGTATTTCTACGCTGTGTATATTCGTTCAAGATTACGTGGTTGGCTTCTCATCGACCAATCAAATCGAAGCAACCAGCGAATAAGTATTAAGTTGTATGATTCTGTACATCATTACACGTTAAGCGATATGGCGATCTGTCTGATCGATGCCATCAGGAATGGCGATTTGAAAACAGCAAAGAAGATGCTACAACAGAGCACTTTTCCGAACATTGATGCTCAAACGTGTCGCCGAGACGGCACTGCACTGTATTGGGCGTGTAGCCTTGGGTTCTTGGATATACTACAATTGCTGCTTCTCCAGGGCGCCAATATCAGTACCCGGACAGAGTGGGGGGCCACACCCCTTTCTGCTGCATCCGATAATAACCACACGCAAATCGTAAGGTAAGAATGATATTAAATGTAAGAATGCCGTGATACTAACAGGTTCTCTTAATTTGTAAAATTGATGTAAATGTTGTTTGTGGATTATTAGTGTTTGACTTTTATGGATATCAAACCTGATCAAGTAAGAAATGACACTAACCTTAAATTTGTAACTAGCTAATCTACATTGAAATCTTCGGGTAATATATTGACTAAGAATAGTAAAGTATATCCCTGCAGAGCAATATAATTCCAGCAGAGATATTCATAAAAAAAACCCATAGTATATAACGTTAGAAAATCCACTGTATGAGTTTATCATCATTAGTACAAACAAAAAACGATATTCAGATAAAACTCATCATTTACTCATTGTTTTAGTTAAATAATTTTTTCCTCTATGTATACTTGTTTTGCACTTGGGCACATAAATGAAAACATTTTGCATTTATCTTACAATATACACAACAAGATAAAATCTTATATTAACCTCTCGTGTTGAAGCGCGTAACGGGTCTTAATTTGGGAGGAAACAGGTACTCGACCGGGAATACTGACGTGGTCTGACAGGTGACCCCTATACCTTTCCACGTCCGCTCGGGAGAATAGATAGAACCCTTACTCCTAGGCGAAAGGCAAATGCGTTTCCACTGTACCACCCTACCCCCTCTGACGAGAAGGGATTTGCTATAAACTTTACTAAACTTCAATAAGTTTTTTTTAATAGTGAAAAGGGAATCCGTCTAAACAGAAGTGAATGTTACGAACTACTATATGGTTGTCGAGGTTATATCTTAACTGAAGTTAATTATCTAAAATGAGTGTGATATGTGTACTGGAAACAGTGGGCGGTTTAACAATTACTTTATAAAATCTAAGCTAAAATGTCTCCACATACTAGTAACACGTAAATTACAGTTTTCTTCATTAATGTATACAGTAAGTACAATTTTGTTGTGACAGAAGATTCAATCATTGGTAATTATAAAATTTTCTTTAAGTTACTGTTTATCACTGTGAAAATCATTACTTCGTACGCTAACTGAAACAAGAATTTACCTACATGATTGAAAAAGCAGATAATGAAGTGTTTTATACACAAAATATAACACTATCAAATAGAACCTTAGTGCAAAGATGAAGCAATGAGACACGAGTTGATGTACATAAAGAAATGATACCTGTTTTTAAAGATTGTCTGTTGAATAACGTATTTATTACCATTCAAATGGAAGTAGTTCATGATTTAAGATTACATTAGAATGAGTAACAAAGTGGAACACATCGTTATACCCAATTCATGCTAAATTCGTTTTCATTTCTGGCATTTTTATTTGTATATTGTTAACAAAAAGTTATTGGTTATACGATGCTAATAGCTCATTTTGTCAACAATAAAATATGAAAATCCATGGAGATGGCTTTCCGCCACATTTTCCTGATAAGTTAACGATATCATAACAACGAGTGGTCGGGTGATAACAAACTTGCATATCGCCTAAGTGCCTGGTGTTCGAATCATCAGGCGGACGTGAAAAAAATGTTGGCACCTGCCCGACCATGTGAGTTTCCCCTGTTTTCCTCCAACAGTAAGACCTCCTCGGGCTCGTCCATCCGGGACAACAAGAGTGGTTAATATAAACTGAGATAGCTTCTTCCACAATTGTTGTAAAACTGAAAAATAAAAATAATGATTATAATTCAATGGTACAAATTTAGAAAGTTTCGGATATGTCATATTTAATACAGGAAGACATACCGGGATAAAGTTGTCATCGCCACGGATGTTAGCTTTAGTTCATATTTCTATGGCAGAATTTCGGATTTTGGTTCAATTAGATTCCTAAGGGGATGGGAATTTTCACTGACCTTCCAAATAAAAAATAAAACCTGCATCAAAGATACCGACAAGATACACAATACCTATCTATAAGGAAAGAATAAAACATAATCTACGACGTAGGCATACCTATCTTAAATATCTGCAAATTAGACAATTTTACTTCAATTATTATGATATATCTACATCTCTGTTCATCGTCTTTGTGGAATAGGGAAACAAATATTTTTCTCCATATCAGGTCTGATCAAAGAATTATGAAACATTTCATTTTTTTTCTAGTTTGGTATTTAATAACCCTTATTAGATCATAAATCTAAAATGGAATTAAAATATAAATTCATAATATTATATATAACATCTGACTGTAAACGAAAATTGCAACAACATCACATTTGTTATCCTGTCGGTATGAAAGATCTTATAAACATGAAAACCGCAAATATTACTAATTATAATCATTAATTCAGCTCATTATCTTCAAACACCAATAAACCTCGTACAACACGCCAGCATACTAATGAGCATCGATACATAGTGGGATATTTAGTCCATCCTGGCATAGCGCTACAATTTGACATGGAAGACAGGTGGTAAGGCTGACACATTGCTGTCATGGAGTGACGTTATTAACGATGTTGTCCTGGTAATATGTTTCATCCCTTCCGTGTAAGGGGCCATTAGTCTGGAAAATTGCTGGATGTAGTAAGCGGAAGGGCGAGTTTGACATACATCCCGTATCGTATTCTATAAGTAAGCGAAACCATGATTGGTCAGATTCATTCATCCATGCATCAAAGGAAATTTATACAAAGTTTTACAAAACTAGATATCAATCCATGTCTTATATATATATATACATTGTATATTCAATTAGCTAAATGGGTTACACTTCGTTTTACCATCAACAACATTTAAAATATAATTTTTTAATCAAGAACCATAGTATACACACTACACTCTTTCATTAATGTTAAGTAAAAAATGATAAATAAATAAAACCAGACCTTAAACTGTACTTGTTTAAGTTTTTGCTTCAGGTAAACATGTTTTTTGCATTACGTGCCGTTTACATTATAAGGGTAACAGAATTCTCTGGGTTGCTCGGTACAATATCCTGACGTAATGTGTTCATGATGGATCGTCCATTCCAAACCTTTTTATTCGTGTTATTTGCCTGCCGCGTTATCAAATTCAGCTTAAATACGTCAATGCCGTTTACTTAAAATATCTATGGTTGATTAGGTGCGTCAGTAGTGATTCGATATACTTGTACATACCAGTAATAATTTACCGCTGTATAGAATATAATTAATCACTGGCTGTTTACAAGTATAGATATTTCGAGAGTGTAGGTGCCGCAAAGCGTTTTAGATTGAAACAACGTCATTACTATATAGTTCAAATTCAGTATGACATAAAAATAAAAATACCATATTTTTTAAAAATGGCTGAAATGACTTTTTAACCATTTATTTTATCCTCTTTACAGAATCCTGTTGAAGCTGGACTGTGACGTGAATTCAAAGACAAGTGCTGGTAACACGTCGTGTCACCTGGCAGCTTACCGAGGGTTCTCTACTGTTGTACAATTGCTGGTCGAGGGTGGAGCCGATATACGGTTACGTAACAACAAAGGCCAGACTGCAGTAGATTTGGCAAAGAACGCTGGGCACACCAAGATTGCTACTTATCTCAATGCTGTGTCCGAAATATGTAAGTTTTAGCATTATGACTGGTATTTGTAAAGTTATAAATCAAAGAAAGAAAACATATCATCTTTCACATTTGTGATATTTTTTTCATGAATCATATACTTAAAACTAGGGTTATACGTTTGCTGCAGGAAATCTAATAGTTCTGATATTCTAATCAAATTATGGGAGGACATTTATTTTATACACATTTTGATTTGTACATCTTAGAAATTTTGTTTTTTTCCATTTCAGTTCAAACTAAGGAGTTGGTCAACAGACAGAAGGCACCAGCTAGTACCAGTAAATTGAACGTTCGGGTAGTGACAAAGTCAGATAAACCAGTTCTTAACACACGAGTACACGACAACACATTGGACAACTACACACCAAGGTCGCACGTGCCTTACACACCCACCTCTCGGACTATAAAATGTGCCAAAGAAGGATTTACTAATTCTGTGTGTCAATTTTTAGAAAATGACTTAAATGATTTATCTACTTCATGTCCTGAGAAACGTAAGATGTCATACAACAATATTGTGACGTTAGGTCAGTGACGTCACAAAACGTCTCGTTTTATCAATAAGAAATCCGTTAATCATAAATGTGGGCATTGTGTGGTAAAGAACGGGTCTTTGTTTCTATTTTTAGAGTATACCTAAACAGGTCCTATTGTAACCGTAACTTTTTGTGTGCACGTGTGTATAGTATACATATTTCAGGTCACCAAATAAAAAGTAAGAGTACATTAAATTTGTAAGTTTAACGTCTATACAAATAGAATATTATTAACGTCTATACAAATAGAATATTATTAACGTCTATACAAATAGAATATTATTAACGTCTATACAAATAGAATATTATTAACGTCTATACAAATAGAATATTATTAACGTCTATACAAATAGAATATTATCAACGTCTATACAAATAGAATATTATCAACGTATACAAATAGAATATTATTAACGTCTATACAAATAGAATATTATTAACGTCTATACAAATAGAATATTATTAACGTCTATACAAATAGAATATTATTAACGTCTATACAAATAGAATATTATTAACGTCTATACAAATAGAATATTATTAACGTCTATACAAATAGAATATTATTAACGTCTATACAAATAGAATATTATTAACGTCTATACAAATAGAATATTATTAACGTCTATACAAATAGAATATTATTAAACATTATTTGTAGTCGAAGAATAGAAGAATATGTCTTACTCTTATGTAATGTATGTTGAGTCGATATATTTACAAGTAAAAACACTTTGAAGACCAATTTATGGACAGTGTTGTAAACAACAATTCACCAAGGAAAATACCCTGCAAAAATAGTTTACACATACTGATGTGTTGGCAGCTGACCATACAACACTTTATATGTAGAAGCTGTATTTAAGTTGTATCTTTAATTCTTTTATCAACTTTGAAGTTTTTAGTGAAGACTTTTACATAAGAGTACTGTGATTAAGGTTCAAAGAAAAAGCAAATATTGAAAAGTAAAGAAAAAAAATTAAAGTTGGAAATGATTAAGTTATACAGAAGTACGTTTATTTACATAGCATTTTATCTTTAAATAGCATACTTGTAGAAAATAATTCCAACATGTGGATTATCATCTCAAAACTTTGAAAATTAAAGGCTATAAAAAATGATATTTTCAAACGAAGATTCTAAATAATAGCATAAACTTGTGTTGCAACAAGAACAATTCTTGTGTGTTTTGTAGATATATCGATGCTTCGAGATGATAACCCGATATGGTGTGCTATCATCAACCACTTTCTACAAAGTTTACTTTAAATGATGTTACAACAATATGGTTTTTGAAACAAAATAAAATTTAGAAAAAGTAGACCTGTTCATTGATAATAAGAAAATCTAATCTTGTATACAAAGAATGTACTTGTCGAGAAAATGATTTACGTCACGGTTTTGTTTACTCTGCCGTTCTGTCACGATACGGTCGAATGAGAATGGAATGTGTCGGTGTTTTATTTATGATGAGTGTGTATGTGTCTCGCCCCTATACAAGGGGAGGTCAAACATCTTCCGGTAGCAAGGTTATTGTACTATTCTCTAGCATTTATCTGTGATAGAAATTGATATAAATGTTCCCATAGGTTCTATTTTGAAAGAAAATATGTTTCTGAACAGAATAAAGATGAATGTATGCATCAAAATGCTGACATAAACAAATGTTTGTGAACAGAATAAAGATGAATGTATGCATCAAACTGCTGATGTAAACAAATGTTCTGTAAATCATCCATGAAACAAGACACTAAAGTAAGTGTAGTGTGTCAGCGAGTAGTTTTTGATATATGATATTGACCAATGCGCTTTCATTTTTATTTCGCACTAGTCAACGGCTATCAGCCATTGTGTGGTGAGTTCTGTTAAGTTTATGAACGGTTTGTTGTATTGATTGCCATTATGTTTTCATGTTTCCATAAATACGCGCTGAGAAGCAAACGCTTACTGTTATCAGTATAACTTCATGTCTGTATTGTGCTTATGGACTACATGGTCCGCCATGTCGGTTTATTATTGACATAAAGCTAATTAATGGTTCACAGAGTGTTATTTGTTTATTTGTTTGTTACAAAGGTGATTATATATCTGAATATAGGGACCCGGGACCCCTGACTAAAGAAAATTTCTCTCTAGCCGTATATTGTAGCTAGTATTTTACCAGGTTTACATACATCTGTCCGTGATTACAATTTGTTTTTTAATGCCAAAAATCACTGATAATGTTCAAGGTTTTGTTACGCGTGATTGGTACAAGATAAATCTATCGTTGTACATTCGACTGAATGGTGGAAATAAGGATATATGTTATCATAAAATGAGGATCTTATTTGAAAAAAAAAAATAAGGACGTTATTTGAACAGATAAACACATCAATTTGCTTATCACACGAATTCATATTTAAAGAAGCCCTTTAACGTTGTGTATAGTATAACACTCAAATGATGAAATATCTAGAAAATAGGTCTATATTTCATTTCCCTTTAATTCAAATATAAATCATGTAGATACAGAATAAGCACTATTTCACAATAATACACAGAATGTCGGTTTCATAATTATACACGAATACAAAAAATTACCTGAGTATTCTGAAAATACCTGGCCTATATATAACAAATAAATAAATGGGTCACGGTTATCTGTGTCTAGTAAAGCGCATGGGTGTATGACTGTACGGGGACATACCCAGTTTGTCCTGTGTGGGCGTATATACTGATACCTACTCTGGCCCATAAAAAGTTATACACTCATGTCACCCGAACATGATACACAGATAAAATCTATTTAGTATCAATGCACAAAAGTACGGGCGTATACAGCATCAAGTGACTCTGCGGACAGTCACCATAACAAATATTACGTGGGCTTATGTCAGATTGCTATGTTATTTACGTGTAACATGTAATATTAAAAGGCGGACACAGATTTTGTGAAAAGGAAATATAAAATGGTGCAATTTGATATTTGCATGTTTTAATAGAAATGGTTATGAAATTTTCATTTCTGTGTTAAATATTCACTATTTCCTTTTCATAACAGAAAACAAGGGCTGAACTGGTACGCCCTACATGAAACTTTATAATTCTGCCAGTAAACTCCTGTAAATAGTAACATGTGCGACGTTATATAAAACTTATCAATATCTTTTACATGAATTTATTTCAAATACGTAACTTAAAAAAACCCACCATGAAGCAATATATTCCGTTACCTGGAACTGTGCCAGGTACCCAGTCTTTTTTATTATTAATTTTCACTGTGTATTTAAGATGTAAGATCTTGAACTAATTTCGTTTAAGATTAACGTATCTGATCTAAAATAACAAAGCAAATGCGTTTGTGTCTAGAGAATCCTAATTGAAAGGTGCAATATACAAGGATAATACAAGAAGAATAATACCACGTGTTCCGTAAGGGTATGCGTACTATGCTTCTTCGACGACACGATTCAAATCTTGGTCAGGCTAAGTAAATAATGATATAATCTCAAATGAGCAACAATGTCATCAAACAACTAGCATCCAACGAGTGCATTTTTGTATCGTACAAAGAAATAGATAATTTTATCTGATTTAACCCGATACGAGAAGAAACGGAAACAATAGTATGAAATCGAAACAAATAGATTCTCAAACTGACGTGGTCCAATTTTGTTTGAAGATAATGTATCTAAGCGGAAAAAACATGTATAAGATCTATTTCATTGCTCATGACTCGTATAGTTGTGACATCATATGATTCACAAGTGTGTTCATATGTAACTAATGCGAATAAATCATTGGGATCTATCGCCACTGGAGTCTATTGGTAAAAAATCTAGAAATGAAGTGAGTTAATTCATTATTGGCTGATACACATAGTATATGAATGCAGAAGTCCACTTAATTCATAGTTCAATGAATTTCGTACGTTCCGACATTTCTGTATTTAAAAGAAAGTCATTTAATTCATATCAGTATATCAAATAGAATTTTCCTGTAGTCACTTCATGAATTATTGAGGAAACTTCACCTACATTAATTAAAAAGTATATTACCATTATAAAGGCATATAAACAGAAATATCTTATATAAACATTAAGATACATCCTGGTACGAACAGGTGTACGTGCACGCTGTCTGGGAATTTATTCACTTTTCTGAATAATGATCTTTCGAACTAATTAATAGCACTTCCAGCACTGAAAATGCCTTTTATTTGCGTTTACATGCCCTTGAATATATCGTTCCGGACATACCTCCTAGATTCCCACACTTTCATGCATTTTATCCCTGAGGAGTGTTTTGAGGAGAAACATAAGCATGTTGCAGTTTCGTCAATTTAATGGCATTTATTTTACGTATGTAAACATTCATGCTTAAAAGAGACATGGTATGAATTAAATCGTCTCTGTTGCATAACCATTTAACTTTGTGTCAATGTACGTGCATTCTCATACATATATCAGCGACACAGTAAGAACAATAAACGTAATTACTAACGGGTCATTACGTACATCGTGTTGAGCTGTGAGAGTTTCCTTTAAGTTTCAAAAATAATAAGAGAATCGTACTATTAGTCATATTGCAAGTTTCAATTTATGTATATGTAGGATATGTAGAAGAGAAGAGTAGAATTCACTTTGAGAAAGGCTGAAACAGACCAAAATAAATGCCATGTACTATTTTTCTTTTCTTTTCGTTTTTTTTATTCTCAATTTCATATTCTTAGAAATGCCATATTGACGTTATAGATATGTTATAACATGTACATTTTGGCATTCCACAAGGTTTACTCGGAATAGTTAGTATTTCACAACATCGCGTTGGTAAAATCAACACGTAACAAATAAACAGAAATAGGTAAATAGTATACACACTAAAATCTACGTGTTCTTCAAGTTTATTTTGAGATACCTCATCATCCCTCTCATAACACATTGACATCATCATCATCATCATCATCATCATCATTTGTCATCATCATCATCGCTGTTGTCGTCGTCGTCATTTAAACAAACTTTCAAATGATCAAGAAAGGGTGAGAGAAAAGTTAATCAAAAGTGAAAAGTGATAGATATAGAAGTAGGGAGATATGCCTGACTAGAGCTGAGATTTTATCTTAGATAATTTTGAAAACAAATGGGCAGAAAAAGTGCAAAATCATAAATACAAAACCAATTGTTAAAAAAATAAAATGATTCATATTTAATTAGAGGATCTAAATAACAACCTATTCAAGAGATAAAGTCACCGAAAGTTATCAGTATGAAACTTCTTATAGATTTTATCCTATTTATTTTTCATTCACTATCAAATTTCAGCTGAGCATGTTCCCATTGGGAGTTAGCAATATATTTTGAAACATGTTAGAACCATTGGTGTTACGGTGTTTAAGAAGAAATTTTGTTTTATCTATATGCAAATCAATCATGATAAAAATTAAATTATCTATCATATTTCCTGTATCCTTCCCATGATTTACAAATTTACCACAAATATCTTTTTTGTTAAAAATATGGGATAAAGAGAGTACCAACAAGAACTTCTAAAATCATTATTAATTATTAGTTGTTTCGAGTGTGGCAATCCAGCCCAATTTATCTTTTTCAAATATGTATCCCATTTTATTCTACTTGTAGAAACGAATAGATTCCTTTCCTTAGGCTTGCAAAGCGTTACTTCCTTTGGTCCCTTTCATGAGAAAATTGACATTAGCACGGGTAGGCTAATAATTGCTTATCAACGGCAACATTAGCTCTCTGTAAATATAATTTTGGAGAAAATTAACTCTATAATAACTCTATATTTTTAATAAGACCACGAATTTATAGCAATTAAGTGATAATCGCAGGTTCAAAAAGAGGAAAAACGAAGTATTATAGATAAGGTTTGAAATGCTCACACACATGAAGGTAAAATCAAAGTGATGGTCTGTGATTCTTGTGGGGAAAGCATGACGACTTATTTACGGAAACGTATCAAATATATATTGTGTGTGGGGAAGGTGATCTCAATTAACAGTAGCTCACAATTCTGGAACATTCACTCTAAATACAAGTTTCACAGAAAAAGAGAACAGAAATGTCTACGTTATTATCATTGGTCGGAGCAGCGTCATGCACTGGACAGAAAACTTAAGATCGATATAACTGACACATAGGCTTTGATAAACTATCACAGTGCAGTCATTTCCTCGTTTTGTCTGTACTGTATACGGGTAGGTGTACCCTTTGTCCTGAAGTTTGCGTTGGCGGATAAATAATGGTAGATATTGTATTTGAGAATTAAGTCATTCAGGTCTTGGACAATTTATGACAAGTGTTGGATTTCAGTATTTATGATGTTATTTCATTGTATTTCTAATCATTGAGTACACATGGTATGGGCGTGCACGAGATTACATGACTGATGACGCCATCAGGAAATGTCACATAAAAAAGTTTCCTGTCGTAATTCTGACTGGCGTACACTGTTCTCATTCTAGCAAAAAACAACCCTTAAATTACTGTATAAGAAATACGCTCAAATAGCAAATCCAATTTGTACATCCTAGTGCATTTCTAGAACATTGAGAGCACAACCATAACATCGATATGACGACATGGAATATATTACCTTAGGTATCTACATTGAAATCTACAGATAAATAGAGTAACGATCGTGAATGAAGTGACCTACTGTAACCCGAGAAACACAAACAACGCGGTACAATTTCAAATTACTTCCTAGTTTGGATGTTTTGCTTTTGAGTACGTGCCGAACATCACGATTTGGGACAAGCTTGAATGAGTGCCTATAAACATGTTCTACCATTAACAAACAATAATATAATTAAAATGAAATAATATGTAATGCATTTATATTGTATTGATGTACCTACCACAGGGGCAGCTAACAACGATAAACAACATTGATCTGGGGAAGTGGGGCTTGTATAATATACTATATTGCATGCATGCCCCCTTCACAGAAGTATACAGAAGTTCGATTTTTTTGTTTCGATGTTGATTTTTTTCGAAGTCTAATATATAGTAGTTTAATTCCAAGTCTAACTTTTAAAGTATGAACCTCGACTATCTTAAATGTATTGACCGGCGTGAGATTTCTTTGTCTCTTACCCTGAACAGGTAAATCCCCGCTTTTAACTGGTGTGAGATAACCTCGTCTTATATTGGATAGGTAAATTCCCACGTTTTACCGACGTGAGATTTCCTTTTCTCTGATCCCGGATAGGTAAAATCCCGCTTTTTACTGGTGTGAGATTTCCTCGTCTCTTATCCCGGATAGGTAAATCCCCGTTTTCAACCGGTTTGAGATTTCCTTGTCTCTTACCTTGGACAGGTAAATCCACGCTTTTTACCGGTGTGAGAAGTCCTTGTCTCTTATCCCAGATAAGTAAATCCCTGCTTATTACCGGTGTGAGATTTCCTTGTCTCTTATCCCGGACAGGTAAATCCCCGCTTTTTGCCGATGTGATATTTCCTCGTCTCCTATACCGGACAGGTAAATCCCCGCTTTTTACCGATGTGAGATTTCCTCGTCTCTTATCCCGGACAGGTAAATCCCCGCTTTTTACCGGTGTGAGATTTCCTCGTCTCTTATCCCAGATAGGTAAATCCCCGCTTTTTACCGGTGTGAGATTTCCTTGTCTCCTATCCCGGATAGGTAAATCCCCGCTTTTTACCGACGTGAGATTTCCTCGTCTCTTACCCCGGACAGGTAAATCCCCGCTTTTTACCGGTGTGAGATGTCCTTGTCTCTTATCCCAGATAGGTAAATCCCCGATTTTTATCGGTGTGAGATTTCCTTGTCTCCTATCCCGGATAGGTAAATCCCCGCTTTTTACCGGTGTGAGATTTCCTCGTCTCTTATTTCCAGATAGGTAAATCCCCACTTTTTACCTAACACACCCCAAAGTGAACGAAAGATTATATTAACCCAATAATGAATTGAAACGTGTAAAGCGGAGCACCGTTGACCACAAAACTATCCTGTTGTTTATCACTTTCAATTTTCATACTTGTAAATTGATCAATCAAATGCATTTTATGATGAAAATGATTTTTTTTTAAAATTCTTATGAAGACCTGAGAGTATGTATAAACAGTATTGAAACAAGTGCATATTCTTTAACAGCCAACGTCTAACCTTTTTAATCCGATATTCTACAATTCACCTGACTAATTAGCGTTTGCCGATCGTAGCTTCATATGAAAAGAAAGGCATTGCCGGTCTTTATAAAAATTGACGAATAAACATATCCTTTCCAATAAGACTGTCAGATATAGAAAATATCTTTCTGTGTAAAAAATCACAATATAGCATTTTTCTTTGAGGTGGGATATATTTCCATCGTTTGTGGCTATTCTTCAAAGTGCTGTGTATCATTAAGGAAGTCCATGGTGAAAATTAACGTAAGAATGTTTATGTATCTTCAGGTTGGTACATTCCAGTGGAGTTAACACCGAGCAAGACTTATAATATTTATTTATACAGGTACTCACTTCCTGGTACATATCCAGACGGTTGCCACCGGGAGCAAGTCATAAATGAATTAGGTGATGTTACACTCCAAACAGCCTACCAGGACTCACCAGCTATATACTGTAAGGTTTTATAAAAAGATGGCGTGTTTGGTGTTAGTTTAGAATAAAAAGAAAATTATACAATTAGCATTTAACTGATTTTATGGGAAAATACAATAAGTAAATAAGACAACCTGACAATACAGATTCATCACCGATGTGTAATAATTCAATACAGTCTAAAGTGTGAGGTTTTATCAAAATCCTGGTAAGGAATGAAGCCGCTAAGTGCTAACGACGGTATCTAAAATTAGTAATGACCTTGACCTATACCCAACAACTTTGATACCCAAATTTGTTCAAGACATCTGAATGATTAGAAAGTTTGTGAATTATCATGAAAATCCCTGAAGACGAACACCGACAACGGTTTTCTAAAAACGACCTTGACCTTGACCCACCAACCCTGAAACATGATCTTGTCCAAGATATCATAGTCACATGTAAGAACGGTTTGATCCTAGATGGAACGAAGCCAATAGAGAGCTGACAAAGATTTCCTAGAATTAGTAACAGTGACCTTTACCTAACAACTCTGTAACTCAACCGTGGGATTTTGGTGTATTTTGATGCTTTATAAGTGTGAAGTTTGACGAGAATCCCTCAAGGAAAGATGCCGCTTTGAGTGACAAACTTTGTCATTGGCTACTAATTTAAACATTCTTTCTCGCTGTTCCATGTTACAAATATACTTGTAAAGGTAGCGTGTCCCCTGTTGTTACATTTGTAGTGGATTATCTATAAAATGAACAATCGATAGACCAGTATATCATCGAACTATTTAAAGTGTTGTATTTCCTTACAGAATAGCCTTGTGATAACCTTGAAGTTGTTATCTTGAATTTGGAAACAACTCACGTGATTTTGTTTGGCTTAAAGAGATAGTGCACTGCTATTGTTTTTTAATATATTTAAAATCCTTTTAAAATTATAAGATAGCTACAGCAAGAACGAACTCTGAAAAATAAATACTCATCGAGATATTTAACGTTGTTTGAAAAACACACCTGTACGGATTGGGCATTGACCCCGTTTTGAGTACACACAGATCTGTGACGTCACAAGGTGAACACATATACCGCGGGTACGCGAGTCAGCCATATTTATTTACATACAACTGAAGCGACCGAATGATTTTATTTCGTGTTTGACAGTGGATCTGGTGTATAATTTGTTTAATTGGGGACAACAGATAATCGAGGACAACGTTGAGACTTTACGAGGTTTCGCAATGAGCGAAAATAGGAAACGAAGTGTAGGTAAGAGGTGTGTGGCATACGGGTGTTCAACAAAGTACGGCGATGGGTTTGCCCTTCATTTATTCCCTACTAATGCCGATCTGTGTAAGATGTGGACAAATTTTGTACAAAAGAAAAGAGACAAGTGGGACGGTCCAACAACGTACTCGGCTCTGTGTGAAAAACACTTCGAAGATGGGTCATATCCTATGAAATACGCCATTCTTCGATCCATGGGTCAAACTCCCCCCAAGAAGAAGGTTCTCAATGCCGACGCTATCCCCACCATACAGACGGCATTTTCTTGTTTATATTGCAGACTTCTACTCGGTGTCCTTCATTACAATGAAAATGGAGGCAGGGACCCAGCAGTCACCAAAGATGGTAACACTTGTTACAACATTGTGTATCCCAAACACAAGAAAGGAGAATACACAGTCCGTGAAGTGAAAATGGAGCCAACTTTCGGTAAGTATACTAAATCGTGGGAACCCCTGGGTCATTTTTCATAACTTCACTATTCAGTTTGGGAAAAAAAATAAAATTGAAGATTTTGGGTAGGGGGTTACCTTTTAAGCAATGGGGGTATGTTTTATGTAGGAATAAAAAGTATCCGATTACATTTTGGTCGGGGGCTACATATTATGCATGACACCGGCAGTGACCGGCACTACACATAAATTAAAGGCAACAATCCATTGAAATGTCTTCTTTTTTTAATGACAGATTACGTTCAAGAGCTGCTACAAATAACAGTCAACAAGGCAACAAACACCAGAATGACTAAAACACAAGATGTCCTGATGGATGCACCTCCAGCACTATGCAGCACCTTTGAACGGCCTTCAAAACTAGAAGCTGTGTCATCAGTCCAATCCCGTTTCGCTTGAAACTAGTCATTCACAAAACCATACTTTTCATTCAGTCTCCATAATTGAAACCCCTCAATTCTTCACCATCACCAGGCGGGAATGTCTGTCGTATGAGATTTACAGCACATGCTGGAAGTGGGACTCGTACATTTCGCCCCAGAAAACCCCAGCACCATCGGACAAACTGTCGGTAGGCAGTGTAGCGGTTTCGCCTGAAAAAAGATAAACAAGAAATACAGATGCATTGTCATGTTTTCATTTTGGTATTATAAATTATAATAAATTATAATTCACAGGTGTCTTTCAGTCTCAGCACTTGAACTTGTTTGGTATTCTTACTGCAAAAGTCCAATAATAGATGAGGTTTTATAAGGGGAAAAACAAACAAATTGTCAGATAATCACAAATCTCTGTATGATATTTCACATCATATACATGTAACATTCAATGGATAGCTATTACTTACGCTGGACCATCGGGTATGTTGCCATTATGGTACTGTCTAAAGGCTTGATATGCTGTACGCAACACATACACATCTAGGCAAACAGAAGGAAATCCAGGGTGCTGTGTGATGCAGTTCAGGTGTGGAAACTCATTCTTGATGTGTTGGATCTGTGCAATTTCAGTGCAACAAATACTTTCAGGGACTGTTGGCATCTCTCGACAGTTTTCACATTTGCACCTGTAAAATAGTCATTCTGAATTATGTTTAACGCATAAGCATTGTTAGAGATTGTTATTGGAAATTGCATTTGTTATTGAAAGTTGTTTGGTATTGAAAGTTATATTTGTTACAGAGTAGTTCTACTCTAAAACCAAATAAATTCCCAGAAATACTGATTTTTTGGATTGCCCTTATTTTTTTTATTAGATATTCTAGGTGTTATTTCATGTGTTCATCACATCAGTCAAAGGATATTTTGTCAACAGGAATATTTATATGAAATAAAGTTGATTTGTCCTTGTGAAGGATTAAATATAACAAAAAAACACTAAAACATAATCTGTGTTTGTCCCAAGTGGTTTTGCAGCTTCTCCATGCTGCTCTGAAGTCTAATCTGTGTTTACTTCCTAGTTAACTTATTTGCTCCAAGCAGAATTTAGTAGTTTTCAAATGGTGTAGATGGATTTTAATATTTATTTTTGAGCAGATACAACTTCCTCTGTCAAGATGCTCTGGATATTTTCCCTACAAAACTCACCAAACAACATTACCATTGGTACACAATAACATATTTTGTAGAGATTGAGATCAGGCCTATATATATTCTTATTGACAGAATAATTAATATAATAATAACTGATAATTTATAGATGGAAAAATATATACTCAGTATAGATGTTAGGTTAACAACATCGCATATCCTTTATGGGCAAGCCGACCAAGTTCGTAGTGACGAGATTACTCGTCCAGCGATATAGTTTTATGTTGCCTGGTTAAGTTATGTTATAATATACATGAAGGCAAAGTTGACGGTTCCGTTTAACGAAAATTTTAAGGCTCAATAAAAATACTTTGGCCATTAAAAGGCCGTAAGTATCAAGGTATTCTTATATTGGGCCTTAATATAGGTCTACGTACCATTCGGTTGAGCCCAAGCGGTCCTCGATTGCCGATGGCGGATTGCCGCTTTCTTCATCGTCGTCACTTCCTAGCTCTGGCTCAAAACGATAAGGTCGAATACCTTCAGAATGCTCCACTTCAAAATCAGAAGAAGAGTATCCCATATGAAGGTCGCAATCTGATTGTGAGTCTTCTGTCCCATCGCTTCCACTATCGCTGTAGGCATCCATGTTGAATGTGTTCACCTTGTGACGTCACGATTTCATGTGCACTACACTACACACATATCCGCTACACTCTGATTGGCTTTACCAGTCAGGTGCAAACTGGGATGATTGACAGGCCATATCATCGGTCGTAGTGAATCAATTTACATGCGGTTTTCGACATTTTCTTATTTAGGTGCTAATGTCTTTCTTATTTAAATCTTATAAAACGATACACTAACACTTTAAGCCTTAATATATCCACGCATATTCCTTATGATCTGCGACGAATGGCATCTCACTTTGGACACAATGACATGTCTTGTTTCCAATATTTATAAGTAACTGCAATGTAGATAAGCTGTCAAAATAAACATCAGTTAGATAGGGGAAAGCAGTATTAATATTGTTATGACAAAAACATCAGTTATTTAGATATTAAAGTCGTGTCAATTTAATGGTCACGTGGCAGCATGCCTGATGTCTTATATACTTATATCGGATAAAATGAACGTAAGATTAATGACAGTTTATTCTCACTTCGGTACTGATCAAACTCTTCACTACTGATTCACTTATTCTGTCATCCCGGAATTGGAATATTTTTGTTTTGAGACGGTTGGTTTGACATTTTTGGTTGATATTGGGTTTTTTATTATTATTATTATTATTATTATTGCTTGTAGACTGTTGTCTCGTACATCACTCGTAGCATGTGATATTATTTTTGTTGAATTCGTTTTGAGTAAAACCTAATTGTATTATTTACTGTCAGACAATATTGCCACACCGCATTCTTTTGTTTGTATATGGTTTTACTTTTCGAATCCTCCTTTGTCAACAAACGGTTTACTTATTTGATTTAGTATGTGTTATGACGGTAAATGCTTTTCTTACCTGAAGATCTTACTAGTTGTAGTAAAGAGTTGTGAGATGGAAATTGTGGTGAAAGTTCGTCGTAAATCTCATTTGCTGACAGTAAATATTTGTACAACCTGCATGACATTACGATAGTAAATGGTGAGACGGTAAGGGATATGATGGTGACGTCCGATTCTAGATGTTTTATATAAACTGTGGCGTTGTGACGGTTAATGGTGAGATGGTAAGGGGTATGTAGTGACGTCCGATTCCAGATGTTTTATATAAACTGTGTGGCGTTGTGACGGTTAATGGTGAGATAAGTTGTGAGCCTTCTATTGAAGAAGTTAAACAGGAATGTCCTTTTTCAGCTCTACTATTCCCTGACTATTTAAGGCTGTGTACCCGAAGACCAGTGTCATTTGGTTAGTTTATGTTGGAAATATAGCACTCTAAATTAAAAAAGGCAAGTGACTTTTTAAAAATGAAAAAAAAAAAAAAAAACGCTGAAAGAGCAGTGATTCAATATTTGCATAAAAAAAGGTCTAGCATTTCATAATACTGATATGGTAGCAACGCTAGGGAAAGATGCCCCTTCATATGCTACAGTGAAAAGGTGGGTGGCGGAATTTAAGCGTGACAGGCAGAACTTTAGGGATGACACCCGTCCTTGAAGGACTGTCTCACTTGCAACCCCCGAAATGGTCAATAAAGTCCATGATATTGTTATGGCTGACCGGCGAGTTGCAGAGAGATATATAACCAGCACAATTAGGGTTTCACTGGAAAGAGTACATTTCCATACATTACATATCTCCTCAGTTTTCTGGAATGCTGGTGGTATTCTGGTGGTAGATAATCTGCAAACGGGACAAAAATCAGGTGTGCTGTTCCAACAGGACATTACGTGGTGTGGATCCATTAGATCTTCATTATGTCCAAAACTAAAAAAGATCATTTCCGGTATCTACATTTGGTCAGATGATGACGTCAAATATGCAGTGGTTGATTTTCTGAACGGTGGAAAAAACGACTTCCTTAAAAGTAGCATTGCGGCCCTTATGCATCGCTGGCAAAAGAGTATAGATACTGAAGGGGATTATGTAGTATGTCCGTCGAAAGTCAAACCCTTAACATTTATAATCGAATCCCCCTACACCTCCACCACCACCACCACAAAAAAAAGTAAAGAAATTAAGTAAAACTATTGAAACATTATTCCATTGTTCCATGAAAACCAAATTATGATTTTTACTCTTTCTCTCCCTCGACCTATACACGAAGGAGAATTAAAATAGAGGTCTGGAACACTGCGGAAAGAGGCTCTTTACGGAGAGTTATGCGTACGAAAATATGTAGAATGAAATGGTCCAAGATTACCTGGAAGCATAAAAAAGCACAATTGCACCATCATTTGTGCTTAGAAATAAGAACTCGAAGGAGCTATTTCTTTTGGAAACTTTCAGAAAGAAATCAATTTTTGATTAAGATAAAACCCGCACACACTTTGAGTAAAAGTCCAAGTAATATTTCAATAGGTTTTAGTAATTTCCTTAAACATTCACAAATTGAGACGCTGAGTGGATTTGGCCCAAAGATTGGTTTCTAATCAATAGGCATGGTTGGGTTAAAGGGATTCAATTTTCTCAGTGTGTACAAAGGGACAGACCCGATATGGAAAATTGAGGTAGATATTTAAATGTAGTTCTGTTGGGATGCATCGTTAACTTTTCTGAGTTTTGTTTTTCCAATTCAAATAGATTTTTTTTTTATGAAACTCTGCAAAAAGATTTAATTTTTGCTCGTGAAGTTTGTAAAAATGAAAACTCATTTCCGATGTATTTATCATATTAATTTGTAGATCTCTTCGTAATGTCTTAAATGTTTGTCGAACGAAGGGAGAATACTCGTACTAGTTAATGTCCAACGAAACGTTTGGTCGATCTTGATCACTTTCTCATCCTCGCAGTTTGTGAGGCGCTTTCACAAACAGCATGGCCAACATTAAGAACAGAATCAAGCAATGCTATTCCGATCCATTTATACGGTAAAGTACTAGTGAATTGAAGTACGTGTGGTAATGGTACAATGCGAATATTTCAGTGACATGTACTGTCAAATGTACAAATAATTTCGCAGACAAAAAAATCTTGAAGGTGTCCTTCATCAGGACAACGACCACAGCGTCATCGGCACATTTATACAGGGATTCGCCCACCAGTCTCCTCGGTCAGTACAGTCAGTGTGAGTGTATTGAACGACGAGGCTGGTACCTGTGTTTTAACCAAAATGGCATTGATCAGTGATCTGAGTATACAGAAAAGTCCATCTTGCACAAGCCCCCTCCCTCTAAAACCCCAAGAAACATGGTCACAAACCCCTGTTCTTACCACACAGGTTTAGTAAGCTTTAACCGTACCTGAGCTGTTGAGAGCACGGGGAAGAGGGAGTGGGTTAGAATTTTGATATCGACTCCTTGAAAAGGTACAGCATCATCCCCCATATCGGTAATAGTCCTGCATTTGAATGACGATCAATTTGTTACTTAAATTCAGGATAATTTAAGTTAGAAATACAAAATTTCATGAAAATATTGCGTTAAAACGGGCTTCATATATTTGACATGGCCAAATTATCATAAATGCACATTTTCACAAAGAAAGTGTTACAGTCATAAACTTTATCACCTCCTTTAATTATAGTGTTGCTGAAAATAGAATACAGATACATTAAATTCATGTTCAACCATGACATTTTTGCTATATGCAGAGACGTATTATACGTCCCTGCTATATGTCCCCATTGACTGTACACTGCGGTCAGTGGAGTACAAAGTCTCCGTCAATTGAGCTTGAAGTTAAACAATGGAAATGATTATACTTCTGCAAATATATTTGTCACACTTTGATCTTTTTAAAATGGTGACATTTTTTTTACATCACCTGTTTAAAAAAACTTTCGTGTTTCTATTTCAAACAATCTTGCACTTGAGTTACTGATTATATTTGTAATTACTACCTATATGCAGGGTTGTGTCCAACCTGTTAAAAACACTGTTTGTAATGAGTTCCAGTGCATTTTCTCATACAGATGTGACCCAATGCTGCATTTTGATAATAGTCCTTCATTTGAGTTACAGTTATTCCTATTCAAATGAGGAATACTTTTAACATACATTTCTTTTTTAACATTTGCAACGAAAAATTTCTAAAAATAACCTATAACATTTCCACTAAATGCTCCCTATGGTTAAACACAGTAATCAATAGTGAACAAAGTCTGTGATATAAATGAATAGCACAAAGTTAGATAACAGATATAAATATTTCTTCAGTGAATACAATGTCAAACTGGCTGTAAGGCCATGTTAAAAAGATGATACCCATTTTTGTTGATAATGCTTTTAAGAGGTTTGTATTATTATTACAAGTTATTCCTTATTTGGGTAAATTAGTAACCAATTCATTTCTCAGAGAAGTCACTATCACTCAAATAGAGAACTTGCCCATATGCAGGATTGTGCACAGCCTGTTGAATCCAAGAGCAAGTATATTACCTTTGTACGTCTGTTCCAGGAATCCAACCCTGGACAGCTAGGTGAAAGGTGAATGTGTTACCAATGTGCCACCCAACCACCCTGAATTGCAGGACATTAATATATCTTAGTTTCTTCATTTTCTGTCATTGCATGTTTAAACAATAAAATGATGCTTTTTCAGAAAACTGGTGTTCAGTTGGGGCCTGTTTCTTGGAGCCATCTACATTGCACGTGACATGGCAGCAGCAGAGGAACTTGCTGCAGCAGAAATGGCAGCATCTGCAGCGCAAGGGGTAGCAAACCAGGCTGATAAATTGGCTGGAGAGATTTCCCGACTTGCTGCAAACTAAAACATGCAGGAAGATCTATCTCAAACGGATTCAGGAAAATCTGGTGAGGCCATGTAACATCACGTTTTTTGGAGAAAATGTTTAATAGAAATATATATGGGGCTGCATTGTCTCTGAATCAAAGTAAATCTCATCATTCAAATCACTTTTTCTATCAGATTTTTTATATGTATATCTTTTGTAGGTATATTTTGTTTAAATTTAAAAAAAACCTTGATTGCAATTAATGTACATATTGTTTATTGTGAAAAGAAGTGGTATGTTAGCATTTGCTGTCATATGATAAGAATCATTTAAAGACTTGGGTTCATATTGTGATTTTTATCAACAAATGTTTGGCTGTCAAAATAATCCTTCATTCGTGGTCTATCTGTAAATAGTTCTTTAAAAATGTTGTTTGAGAAATACAGGATAGATCATTCCAAGATTTCATACGTAGATTTCTTTTATTCCCTATTTATGACCTTATGATTTTGGGATTATTCAGGAAAACAAAAAAGTTGACAGACAGCCAACTTTGAATTTGATAATAAATGTCTGTTATTGCAATTTCTTTCGAAATCTGTGATGGATCTTTCTCCAATTTTATATGTTGGTTCCCCTTGGTCCCAAATTGTGCCTGTTTGATTTTGGGACTATTTGATAGAAAATTGGCTGACAAGTGGCTATTTGGATTTTGACAATGAAAGTTTGTTTACAGTTGGATGGACTAAAGAAATTATTCTCAAATTTCATTTGTAGTTTCCCCATGGTCCCTTGTTAGGCCTGTTTGATTTCAGACTGATAGACAAAATGGCTGACAAGTGAAAATGAATATTTTAGATTGATCTTTCTAAAATTTCATATCTAGTTTACCCTTGATCTCTTGTTACGCCCTTAAGATTTTGGGACTGATCAGAAAAAAAACATAAAGGCACAGGTGACCATATTGGATTTGGCAGTGAAAGATTACTATCACTATTTCTCAAGAGAAATGTTCACAATTGATATAATTTAGAGCGAAAACAGGGTAAAGACAAGAAAGGAAAAGATCAAACTTTTAAAGAATTATATATAAGTTATATGGTGATTCTGCTTTGGATAATCATATCTTGAGCCTCGAGATATTAATTGCTTATTCAACATATCGCAATTAAGTTCCAGCCAAGGAAGAATGTTGAAGAAAATATACTTAACAAAGCTTGCTGTATAGTTTTATAAATAATTGTGATACATTCTTTTGAAAAGTTGTCTGATGTTCCTTAGTGCTTTATCTTGCTTAACATCAGAAAATAGATTAAAAAGTATAGTGTGAATTAAACAATCTTCAAACAATAAGATTTTGTATTGTTGAATTTCAGATTGGTCCTAGTGACTGCGACAAACCTTCATTAGAAGCGAGTGAAGTTGACAGTATATGTGTGAAAAACATGGGATGAAACATGAATTCTAGATGATGACAAATGACCGTGTGCTTGCTAGGTTAGATGTGTATCACATTGTGTGTGTGTTTTTACTTGTTATACAACATTTTATTGTGTAATAAAACTATGAATGGTTAGAAACCATCTTTATAAATAATGTGTTGTGATAATTTCTTTACAGTTACATGTATGTGGTAACTCACTTGCTACCTGGGAGCTCACAATTAAATACTGCATTATTAACCATTTTGTTTCCAAAATTGAACAGGCACCACATAGGACCATGGGTACATCTTACCTCTTAAGTTTCAGAAATACTATTTCGGTAATTCTTAAGAAATAGTAATAACTATCTATATCAGAATTCATGATGGCTGGCTGTTGGCCATTTAGTTTTTCTGATCAGAATCAAAACTGGATGGGCGCATAGGAAATTTGCAGGGTAGTATTCCTGTAACTTTATTATTCGTGAAAGAGACCAACGCTTTTGAGAACCAGATATTGAAGGTATCGTAATTATGTCACATTTTCATACATAAATAGTTTTGCAAACTTTTTGCAAATATGCAGGTCTTTTGATGATTTCAAGAAACTTAAGACAATTAAACTTTTAGTTTCTCTGCTGACCAACTAGTAGACATCAGAGCTGACTTAGTCCATAGGATCTCTGAACTTATTTGGATCTGGATAGCTTATGCCATACTACCACATCTGTCAGCTGTCACCTTTTCCTGCAAATCAATACTAGTCATAAATGACTAGGAAGTTTTGACCAAATATGGCTAGAGGCATCCTTGGAGGGGAAGGGGACCAGATTTTGAATAAATGGTGGATATCACCTTTCAGGGGCCTGAGGTACAGGGCCACAATGGGGAAATTTTGCAAGTTCTCCTCTTGTAGGAATGAAAGGCTATTTCCCAAATTTGATTTAAGTATCCTTTCGTGAGGGAAATAAATTTTGTATAGTAAATAATGGTCTCTGCCCTTTGGAGTTGTAGAGTCCAATAGGGAAAATAGTGCATATTCTTTTTAAAAAATCTGTCTTCTTAAGGGATGCCTGTATTCAGTCCCAATTTACTCTGAAGCATTTTTAGGTGGGAAGAATCAATTTTGTATAAACAGTAGGTCTCGGCCTGATAGAGGTCGGGCCCAATATGGGAAATAAGAGGAAATACGTAAAATCCTACCCTCCTGGAGGAATGATTGGATTTTGACCAAATTTAGTCAGAAACATACCAGGGTAAAGGGGATGTAATTGGGATTCCTTAGCGCAAATTTTGTTAAATACTTTCACGTCTGTAGAAATGCCTGCATTCTGTCCCAATTTGCATGCTTGGTAATGGGATCAATTCTGTATAAACATTAAGTCTCAGTCCACTTTTGCAAGAGGCAGGCCCCACTAGAAGAAATAGAGTTGATTCTTTAATATCCTTTTAATTGGAGTAATTCAATTTTGCCCAAATTTGGTCTGAAGCATCCTGGTGTGAAGAGAGCTTTGTTTTGTTTAAACTGCATCTTGCCCCCCCCCCCCCTGAGGGCAGAGGGGCAGGGCCGTCCAAGGTAAATAGTGGCAAGTCTTTGAAATAGCTGTCCTTTAGTTTTAATTAAGCAATTTCTGCAAAATAAACCAGATGAGCAATAGAGGCCCAATACGCTACCTGTCAAGATCTTGATCACATAGACAATGAAACAGTTGAAAGTGTTACTTTTTATTTTCATTAAAAGACAAAATAAAATGACAATGAAGTAACAAAAATGTAATGAAAGTGACAATCGATGGAAGTTAACACAACAACATTTAGATCTACATTATTTTATGGTAACCCATTCTTTCAACTGACAAGGTGAAAATTACTAATCATCTCCTTCCTAATGAATTTAATATTTTCACCTTTTTGAGTCCTTCTAATTATGAAATAGTGGTCTCCAATTATAGCTTTCATTTTTACAAAAATGTTTGTACATATTTCAAGTACATGTAGTAATATTATGGATAATATCAAAATTCTTGTCAACTAGATATTTTTAGACATAAAATATTAACATCTTTTCAAGATAATGAGCTGGTAACCTGTACTGGTTTGTGGTAATGTTTAACACATGATTCTGATGAACATTATTATACCACCTGGATCAACATGTGCTATGTTATACCCAGATCTAGTACATTATGACAATGGAATAACACATACCATCATATAATATGTGGATCCACAAGATTATTACACAGTGGAATAATACTATCATATATCTAGATCCAGCACACACAATTCTTGTCATTATTATTATATCACTGATAAAATAACATGTGCTTTCAGTCCAGTTCTTTACAGAAGTCATTGTCTGTATGGTGCACTTGTCTACTTGCTTGGCACCTGAGAGTACACTCCGTTAACAATACATGATTAGAAAAGTATCAATATTTAGTCCTTCATTTCCCCTTCTTCATCCTCTTCCTCAACACCTCTAATGTAGAGCACATTATTACACCTACAACAGCAAATGAAATACTTAATGTGATGTACATGTATGGAGACTTTTCTTTAGGTCAATTTATTTCAGGTTTGTCCGAGGTCCAATCCCTTCATTTTGGAAACATTGAAAAAAAAGATAAAACTACAATGTTCAGACCTAGAAACCAATTGTTCCTTGTATGATGCCTTTTGAATTTCCTGGCCACTGTAGAAACATATAAGGTATATTTCTGGAATGATAAATTGTGACTGGACAATTCTGACACAACAATTTGACTAAGCAAAAAATAATTCCTGTTTCTGGTAATCCTACTTACCCTTACATTTTGTGACTTTTTAAATTTTAAGGAGGTTTCCAAAGAAGCACTGTAGAAGTCAAGATCTTTCTCCTATATGAATCATATAAAATGATTTAAGACAGAAGTTGTTGTCTACCTATCTACTGCTGATTTTTCAAACATGTTGAAGGAAACCTTTATTTTTTCGATTGGTCTTTGACTTTAAACTTGAATGATGAAGCCAAGATTTCATTACCTTATTAACACTTCACCAAGATTTCCTGTAAGTGCACCATCAATAAATTCTTCTGTATTTGCCAGCTGAAAAAAGAATCTATCAGTTAACACAAGCTCACCACCGTTTACTCAATATTCTTTCCACTTCTTATTCAATGTCACACATGAAACCTTACAAAGTTCACTTTTAATCTGAATCACAATTAAAGTTAATCATCTACATTACAAAAGCTGTTAACTTCAGAAATGTTTTCAATGTATCCAAACTCTTTCATAAGTCACATATCAATCAGAAAGCCACGCATATTACTAACTAATATTTTGACAATTTGTAAGGTTTCCCAAGATTAAAGACAATTGTACATGTGTATAGTTTGTCTCCTATAACTCATTTTATTCTGAATGTAATATTAATGCACATTCTGTTTTTCATACCTGTAAATTCATGTAGCCATCAACTGATACCAGATAGCCCTTGTATTCCATACCCCACTTTAGCTTGACCATTACTGGTTTTCCTGTAAGCCCATTCAAGAATGGCTTTGGGTTCATTGGCAGTGTTGACTGAAAGAACAATCATATCAAATGTACATAATATACAAGTACTTTATATTATCAATTTATGTATGTACCATTACCAATTTACACCATAAACATCATCAAATAAATCATATAAACTACAATGGAACCCACTTAATGTCACTTTCTGGTTAATATCACATTTTCTTGAAACACCTGATTTTTCCCTATATATTCTATGTAATCCAACATCTGATAATGTCACTTATTTTCATGTGGGCAACACTTAATATAACTTCATTTTGCCAACTATCACCAAAAAAGGTTAATCACAGGTGAAAAAAGAAGCTATAATCCATGCCTGATGGGCCATACGTCACACCTGGTCACATTATGTAAATATCATCACTGCCCCACTGACAAATTTTCACACCTTGTGAAAACTATATATCTTGAAAACCTTAATAAACTTGTGACATCACAAGACACATAGTTAATATGGTCACAATACATTAAATGTCTGAAGTTCCAGTTTCATATATGGAAAATGGCAAAGACATGACAATTTTACTATCCATTGACAGTTTGACACATGTGTGTACCTATATTTAGTTTGAAGATGCTGCTTGCGAGTGTGATAGACAATACACAAGTGTATCACCGACGATCAATTAAAATTTAAACCTTCACAACTTTACCAATTACAATATCAACACAAGATTTTGATTACATGTGTGTTACATGTTAAGAACATATCTTCCGATTTCACTAACTTATTGGATATGACCATTGACATTTACAATAACAAACAATCAAAATAACTGTAGGAAAACAATTGGCAGATTTCTTCTGGATTTATTCAATACGTCGTGATATTGATATTACCCCCACCCCTCCCACAGGTCTGCTTGTTAAGCCGGTTCTCTGTGTTTACAATGCAGGGTCCTTACGGACATGTAATACAGTACATTGCTAAATGATGAACCATTTTAGCATCAGATATTGCAACGTTAGTTGATATATCTCATTACACAATTGCGTGTGTTTTGAATTTGGATATTTACCGTCATGATTGCTGTTGTGGAGAGCCTTCTTTATTTCGTGCCGCAAAAAGCGTGGTCTAAACGTATGACATGCGCTTTATTTACTTCCGGTGGATTGATGTATTTTTAGGGTTAGGAGTTTTAATATTTGTGTGCAAAATATGAAATATCAATCAAAATTTTGTGTTATAGTAAGTAAAGTTAAAGTTATGGCATTGTACTAGCGGAACATCTGATACACTGTAAAGTTACGCCGTTAATTTATGATGTATAAAATAACAAAAGAAAAATATGAATGAGTCTTCCGTTTGTTATTTCAACTCGGATTTTTAACAACCATTTCGGCGAGCTCTCTATTGATGAAAAAAAGAAACACCAAAAACATTGAAGTCTGTTGTGTGTGATTCAAAGCAGCATTTTGGACGATGGGTGTCGTCTGGTAAGAAACAGGGTGATTTGCTCTGATCGTTTAAATCAAACATATTTACACATAAAGTCGCACGGCTGTGTGAATATCATGGAGCTGGGGGTGACTACATTAAAGTACTTCTACTTTCACTATACACCGGTTTCTGATCACATATATATATATGGGCGCAAAACCATAAACGAGCGCAGCATTTAATCACTGAATCGGGCAGAGGTCCCGGACAGAAATCCTTGCATAAACAAAGCAAATTACATTAGTTTTATCCCTCGTCGATGTATTGATGTAAATCCAAAGGTGTAATTAGGCCTTGATTGATTATATGAGACTCGATTTTCTCACATACATCACACTAATGTTTGCTTGATAATGATAATTACAAGTAGATCATAAATTGCACCTCCGATAACAGGATATTTGCTCACAATGTAAATCAAAATCACACAAGGTATCTTGTAATGTATATAGTTCGAATGTAAAATATTATTGAAATTTACAAAAGTCCCCCTCAAATTAATAAGAAAATCACGCACACATTATGGTATCATTGAATTTAGCTGTGTAACTCAATGTTATCAAATTAAAATGAGATATAGGTTGCTCCACAGCAATTTTCGTAACACGTTTGTATTCATATAAGGCAGGTTACTCTTTATCAGAAAAGAATACTTTTCTCACTCTCACAAAAATAGAACAAAATACAATTCTGCATATTGATTTGTTACTTATTACTTTCAAGCTTTGGATCATCAAACATAAAGGCAATAAATATGGGAAGGAATGTGATTCTGTCTGGTCTCTGATTTTGGTGCTTGTGGTGTCAGAGAGCTCGTTTTCTCTTTATGAAATTACCATGTAATTACCATTAATATCTGTTGTGGAATAATATTTTTATATTGATATTCTTAAGAGCATAAGGAAGTGTCTGTGAACCACAGGAATATAACAAAGTACTAACAGCTGTAAAACAGTACAATGTATACTCTGATGTTATAAAGAAAATTTTGGGAACAGCCTTGGTTTTGTGAGGTTACACTGGAAATCCTGTACATCTTCATATTACAGAGATTTTTTGTTATGTGATATATATTATAATATATAATCACAACAAATGGCAAATTCACATCACACAATAACAGAGCAAAGGCACTTACATCTATGTTATAAACTTCATTTGTGGACAAAAAATTAAATACATGTTATTTGTTTACAGTTAATTAACCATTAAGCATACTTTTCTGCAAAAAGTTTTGTTGTAATAAATGGCAAGATAGAACAGTGGTATAATTGTTTGGGTTTATCACCAAGTGATAATGTACAGCCAGGGTGATTTTGAGGTGGGGTCTGTGAGTATGTAGTAGCTGGTGACACCCTCACTGAGCAACATGTGGGAGGGTGCTTGCCTTAGGATGCAACACAGTAAAGTTAATTTCTCAGCTCTGGGAAATAAACTACCATGGATAGGAAATATTAATTGTATCATGCTTCTTTGATCTTTATCCAAGGTTGTGCAACTGACTGAACTTTTGCATCTCATGATAAAGTGGTAAGGTGTATCAATTAGTGTAAAATGTAGACAGCATATTTTGGGGTAATTTTATTTCCAAATTATAAAGATATCTCAGTTTGTTAGCAAATTCTATCATATCTAGTTATTTTCATGCTTCCAGAAATATTTCTTTGGAGCATATATTATCCACTATTTTTGTCTATCCATCTCTCTATCTATCCTTTAGTGTCTGAAACATAAAATAAACAGTCAAGAAAGGATTATGATAGGAGTTATTGTCCATAATTAAAAATTGGTGCCTAGAGCATAACTTGCTCTCGTTTAAACTAGCATAATGACAGTTGGTATATACATTGATCATACTAAGAGGATGTACAGTGTACCAATTTCAGGGGCGGAAACCCTTTGATTTCAAAGTTATTACCCATAATTGAAATTCTGTGTCCAATTATTTGTATTTGGGAAGCAATCATCAGCTTCACTGATATTCTTGTTTTATAAGCATTTGACTTAAATTCATGACTTTCAATAACGCATACTTGTAAGACCTACACCAGTGAGTTGTAAGTTCAGAAGAATTTTTTTTGAGGAAGTTTGATAAAATATGAAAACTATGAACTTATAATTACCTTGGACAAGTTTATGTAGATTGTAGGGTCAGTGTTACTGTTACTAATTATAGAAAAACCGTGTTAATGCACAAATGGCTTAATTAATTTCTTGATGGATTTTGATAAAATATCATACACTGAGTAAAGAGCGTTACATTTTGAATGATTTAAAGTCTCAAAGTTGTAGGGTCAAGGTCATTGTATCTATTTTAAGAAAATCCTTGTCGGCACTCAGCAGCTTCATTCCTCAAGAAAACAGCTTCATTTTTCAAAATAGATTGATCAGACTTCACATTTTATGGAGGAGCATGGCATCTTGGAAAATTGATGTTAGATGGGTTGCAATGTCAAGGTCAACATAAATCCTTGTCAGCACTCCAGCAATTTCAATGGATTTTGACCAAGCTTCGCATTTATATAAAGGACCACAATATCATGTAGAAGTTAGTTTCAGGATTAGATCTCAAGGGTCAAGGTCATCGATACTGGGTCTAGAAATCCTATGTCAGCTCTCTAATGGCCAATTCAGGGAGGAATTTTTATCAAAGTTCACCTTATTTAGTCATCTTTACTGTGCAATTGTCAACAGTTTCTAGTCTATCCATATGAGTTTTCTTTATTTAACTGAAATTTTACTTGTATACTACTGTTAAACATGTATATGTGTATTGCAGTGTTTATGCATACAACATACCTGAAGGTAAGAGTGGACAGCAGGTAGTGGACGGTCTACAAAAACAGATGGAGGTAATTGGTGCGACCAAGACAGGCAATTTCTGTGTGGATTGTGAAACTTACCAGTCTCATGCTCAAAACGGTAATATACCCAATTAATTGATGTGATAAAAATTGTCTTTCTACAGCAAAACAAATTCCTTTGTGACATTCACTTTTTCAGGATGCTGTATATGTCACAAGGTAGCATCTCATGGTTTTTACAAATTTAATTTGATTTTAACATACCAGTAATGATTGTAGTGAGTAGTTTTGTGTCATATGGTGTCCAACAGTATTATAAACCTATAATAATAAGATAGAATGATTTTAGCTTTCCTCCTAGATCTACTTTCATTTAATTGTATACATTTAAAAGAAATGGGATTAGGTTAATATTGGTTGATATTTTTGAAAAAAAAAAAAAGAATTTTTTTTTTCTGGCAGCTCAGCAAAGGTCCATTCACATCTTACACAACAGTGAGCAGCCAGCAACTTGCTTTTCTGTCCTGGACACGGGGACTGTGTTAGTGTCGGATATGCTCTTTGACTTAATTATGAACACAATGACTCAGGCTAAGTCAGGACGTGAAGCATTCTTCCAACAGAGGAAAGGTTTCAAAATAGAATCTCGCGGCCAGCGTTATGAGTTGGCCGACTTTGTCATTAAGATTGGTTCTGTGTCCCTTGTGGCAAACTTCAAAGGAGTGCTGATAGAGGTAAGCTTCATGGCTTTATTTAAAAACCTTTCTGCTAAAATAATTAAATGATCTGTGGTAAATGTATAGACTTTATTAGTATAATTTATACTTTTTTAACATACGTGTATGTGTTAAACCAATATATACATATGTATTTATATTGTCTCATAAACAAATAATTCCAACACCATCAACACAGGCATAGTGATTTTGCAAAAATATCTCTCGTCAATAGAATTATGCAAGTTGGGGATAAAATCATAAACAGTGATCATCTGTTCCAGAACATATTTTTTTTGTTTTTCCAAGACAAGAAGTCCATTACTACTTTAATTTATAAAAAAATTAAATTATTACAGTGCAGTTATGATTTAATGTAATTTTGATAAGTTTTGACATTTTCCGACAAAAATATTTGCTTTATTTCAGGTTGAATATTGTCCTTGTCAAGTTCCAAGTGATTGTTGGAACATGATGAAAGAACTTTTACAGAGCATTGTGGGTAATGCAGCCGATATGCCACCATCATATATCAAAAATAAAATGGACTCTCTGTATACCCCAGCAGATACTATCAACCAGTACTTGGAACATTTCAATGCTTTTAGAAAGACCGCCACCCCAGGACAGCAGAACAGATGATGGTTTCACCAGATTAAAGTAATATCAAATGATCAGGAACAGAGTATGTTTTTGAATGAATACATCTGAAACCCAAAATAATGATATTGATTGAATTAAAAAGTTAAATATATCAGTTTATTATTAAGCATGTCGTTAGAATAGAAGTACAATTACTGTTTCAAAGGGAAGTAAGTTGACACAGTTTATATGATATTTATTACTTCGCTTGCTGTAAAGGAACACCTTACTATTCATGTTTGAAAATAATGAAATTATGTATCGATGAATAGTTATCCCTACATATCATGAACAGCTACTATTAAACAGTGTCTTGTCCCTGTTAATACAAAGCTATCATGTGCTCTCATCTATATCAGCAATGCCATGGTTAGTGTTTGTTAGGTCACATAAATCATGATTTTTATACTTGAGGTCTGTTTATCCAGGCAGCTATCAAAATTTCTTTTAAATATTGTTATCAGTTATATTGCAAATTTTCTCATACCATATGTAATCATGATCTTTCCAACTTCAACGATTTCCCTTTCATTTTTTTTTATAAAATTCTTTGGATATAACTTTCCTGATAATATTTCCACTAAAAAAAGATGTGATATGTTTACTATAACTACATAGTGTATGAATATGATTACAAAATGTCTATTGTTTTGATGCCCATTGCCACAGACAATTGGCAGAAATTTCCATATATGGTATTGATATAGTATCAGACATTGTAACCCCTCAGAAGGGCAAGCTGGAGAATATATATATATATATATACATGTATTTTCTTATTCTACAGGCTGTAGATCTTTTCGACACATACTATACCTTACGAAAGCTGTTCTATTTTTCCAATTCGTGTTTGATGAACAAGACTAGCAAGTATTTACCAAGTTATGAAATTTAGAAATATATGAAGAAATGGCTAGATAGATATATGGAGTTCCCTGTCCGCGGCCAAATGCTGTCATCATACACAATCTGTACCGTTTTTCTTTTTTTTTTTTTTTTCTGTAAAAAAATTAATGAATGCTTTTCATTTGGGAAAGACTCGACGAAATCAGGATTTGCAAATATCCTATTAATAAAAAAAAATACTTCTTTTTTTTGATGATTATGTTTTATACGGACAATGCAGAAAATTGAAGAGGACACCATGACAAGAATTGCACCTTGTCATCTATATTTTGACAATTTCTTCTGATCACTCGGGCACCAGTTAAGTTTCAAAATTTAGGCCCTTACTACATTCGGTTAGTCCAAGATGATGAAACAGCTGACACAGTTAATTCATTATTTCAATCTACATGTCTAATTCCAATTTTTAGCTCACTTGACCAAATAACCAGCAAACCAAATGTCATGATATTTGGCTAGTAGGTTGTTGAGATGAAGTCTAATAAAGTTTGAAAAATAAGCCAACACAATAACCTTGGCCCATATTCATGGTCACAAGGGTCAAATTCGTTAAAACCTTTAAATGACTTTTTCTGACTTACCAAAAGACAAGGAAGCATGGTATTTGACTGAAAGTTTTCTCAGATGAACTTCGACAGGTTAGACAAATTTTGCAGAAAAAATGGGATCTACCTGTAATCCAGGTCATAACTCACTGTACAGAGTTGAGTATTAGAAGTTGTTTGTTGTGGATATTGGTTAAAATTGATAGGATGTGCCTGCATTGAATGCCAATTGTGTTACAAACTGGATGCATTATTTGTAATTAGGAAATGAGCGATTTCATCGATTGCAACAAATGTCTTATTGGTTTTATGGAAAAGAACCAAGATGTCGTCGACATCACACGGAGGCAAACTCTTTCTGAAGGACTGTTTTGTCATATTGCCTATGACGTCACGCGTTGCCGAGAGCTTTATCAAGGATAGTTTTGTCTTCTACATGGTGCGGTAATGTGACCTTCAACTTTGGATTGTCATCCATAATCCGACAAATGGTTTCCTGTGCTCGATTATTTCCGGACCAACACCGTCTTGCTACCTACGAAGAGTAAAACAGTTTCAAAAGTGCAATTTCTAGTGCTTTGGGAATTGAAATACATCGTTATATTCTATGCTGGATGGGAGAAACAAGTTTTACCCGAAACCTGTTTCCATCTTATGTAGAGGTTCATTACAAATGTCAGTTCTTCGATCATATGAGGTCACTTACATTTAGACAGCCCATTCTTTGACTTTTTGAGGATTCACCCTAAATACACATCTTTGACCTTGTAAGGATACTTCTGAGACGCATTCATCCAACTACAAGAATCCATTCTTTTTGTTTTTCCTTGTGGGAATACTTACTCCGTTCGACACGTCCCAGGCCAGCATACGCTCCGCCCGTTGGCGAACCTCCTGAGGTGTAAATAAGCATGTAAAGTGAAAATGAAATGAAATTCATGATCATTCAGGAGATTTTGTCTCATATTTACCTACTGTAATACAATTACCATAATGAGTAAGGTCCCCATACGTATTATCTTTTATTCATATTTTACTCTCATTGCATTGATTATGAGCTGGAATAACTTGCTAATATTTCAAAGATGAAATAAGATTTAATCCGTCTGTTACAGAAGTAATCGTTTTGTTAATGTGCTTCCCTACCTCTGATCCGTCTAACACAAGACCAAACCCTCCATTGATCACCTCGCCCCTGCAGGAAAGTAACATCTTTAGTTATCGATATATGTAATGTTTAGATCATAGAGGACACACGAGTAGTTATCATTACGACAGTTTTCGACGTGCCGATAGTGCCCATAGCGCTGATTATATTACATAGAAATACAGTTTTCTCTAAACACAGCTACATAGACATAATGTACCGGACAAATGGTTAATAATGATTTGAAAATTGAAAATACGTACAAAATAAGGAATGAAAGTGTTCCCAAAGTACGGGAATTGAAAACCATGAAGCATGAAAAGGTAAAAATTGGAAATTTTGAATTCAGGAAGATTATAAAATAATGTTTATTATGGATATGTATTCAAAACCGGATGAGTTGTTTGTGTGAACACTGGGAAGTAATAAATAAGATGTCTCGTACATGTATTTCTAAGGTTATGAAAGGATTCAATGACAAGACTTTTTCGGTTATCATTTTTATTTAGCGCATGGAGGTGAGATTTCTAGGTAATTTACAAATATACATATATTCAAATGAAGCATATCATACAGCTAACATCGTCTTATTGAAGACCATCCCATTGGTGAATGTTTATTGTGACGTCACAGTTTTAACCATTAGCCTGTTATTAAGTGACATGACGTAATTTAATTCGCATGTAGTAGTGAAAATTTTGCCATAAATAAAATCACCACATGAATGCATTGAAAGATGACGCTTCTCATAATTTCTTTCAGCATACGTAAACTCCATACTTAAAGCAATTCATGTGAAAACTGTAAATGGGATTTTATTTCTTTCCGTGATATTACATTGAATTAACTTACCAGCCGACACCACCTCCATTGTGAAGAGCTACCCACGTAGCTCCCCTGAATGCGTCACCGATTGCATTCTGAACTGCCATGTCTGTAAAAAACATAAACGACAATTAAATCTATAAATCGTTGGTACACGTTGTACACATATTTCACGATATATCTTTACACATTCATCAAATACAAAATATGAAGATCAATTCATAATGTACATCATGCAATCAAATGGCAGTGTGGGACATTGATGAAAAATCCCAAACATCCATGAACAGAAATCTGTACTTTTTGGTTTGTCATGTGATGTAGGCTTTTCCAGCCTGCAGGGTAAGCAATGGATTTTGCCTTGGTTTGGCGCCAGTCCGTCAGTGATCCGTCCGTGATCCGTCCGATGTTACACGTTCTCTTTAAATGACTTCTCATTAACTGAAAGGACATGAGCCAAAAATCCTCGACCAGTATCATGCTGAGGTAAAGGGTTTTAGGTTTCTTCAAAGGAATTACCTTTACTCCTTTCCGTGGTTTCCGCAGTGAAATAAATCAACAGCTTGAAATGACTTTACCATGAACAAAAATGGAAAAAAGGATCATGCCATTTGGCCAGTAGCAAGCTGGGGTGAAAGTTCAAACGTACAAAAGATCAACCCTTTTTCATCTCACATGGGTCTAGTGTAAATTTCACAATAAACAAGTGGGCGAGATATTTATTAGGCCATTAGCATGCTAGAATAAAGGATATTCATGTATTTTGCAAAATATGACGTATGTCATCAATTGGAATTTATAACATTTAATTGAACCTGCTCTTTGCAAAGTTTCAAATATAAATATAACACACAATCGCCACAGCATGTGAACCACAACCGAATAGAATGGGAAACGGTTGCGGTCTGTTTGTTTAGAATAAATTACCTGCTGTAAATGCTGACCCGTCATAAATGTTGGATGTTTCCCTGAATGGACTGTCTGTACCACTGACATCATGATGATCGCGACTCAACACCACTGGACCCTGTCAACATACACTATATTGTTATCTGAACTTATTAATTCACGTTAATATTTCTATTCACAGAATGATCAATACTTCATGCTTTATGTGGAAATCTTAAACGTTTGTATCATGGACACAGGAATATTGTTTTGTCTGTGACTTGTTTTTGTTTCCCCACCCCCAAACGCCCTCTCCCTTTTTTGAATGCATTCATTAAAGCTATGTACCGACAAGTATTATTTTTCATGTAATATAAGGCAGAATATTACAAATGGGAAAAAAAATGAAACATTAAATATATACCTTTAGTTTCCTCTCAGCCACTGCGTCATTGAAGGCTGTCGCAATCGCTATCCTACCTTTTTGGTCGGAATATAGAATTCTCGCCTGTGATCCTACAACCTAAAATAATATGACGATGCATAACACTTTTCAGTATATTTGGACTACTTTTAACAATGGGATTGCATTATTGTATGGAATGGGTTTTTTACCAGATGAAATCATCACCATGCTTACATCTATAGTGAATTGCTTATAAATACAAATTCATATAGTCGCTGTTTTGCAAATTGCAAAAAGACAGCTAAGGTATTGCCATCCGTCAGTAATTAGTAAGACATTTGTTACGTAACAAGATAGCTGGATTTATTTATGTAGTTTGATGGTTTTGTATCATGCAATGTCGTACCAATTTGTTGTTTTTCGCCTCTTTAATCCATCTGATATTATCATTGTATTGCTGCTTGATTCCTTCTGGAACTGAAAAAAAAAATTGTCAAATGACAAACCGTGTCTTGAAATAATATTGGATATTTTCACACTCATTGTCTTGTTAAAAAGCACTCTACATGTTAACTGTTCAATTTCAAAAGTGTATCATAGTTACTCTGACTACCTCCTTTGTTGATGATGTCCTCCAGTATCGACGTCGTTATTTCGTCAGTTTTTTCAAGGTCAGACGGATCGCCAGATGTACACACCCATCTGTAAATGTAAATGATGTCAACGTTGTTCTTATTGGGGAACGTGACATTACTTGATATGGCTAACCAAGAGAGACACAATGAGTTTCGTTTATAGAGCAGAATGTGCTTGCTTTTCATGAACATTTGGTCTTGTATTGTCACAGAAATATCCATATCAATCGTTCTCTTGTTCATAGTTTTCCATTATTTCATAGATTTTAAAGTTTGAATTAAGATTCTTTTAAGACGTTTTTTATTGATCATTAGTATTAAAAGCAATGACATAACTTGACGTACTGCTAGAAAAATTGTAAAGAAACATTTGAAGAAAGAAAGTAAGATATAAAAGATACTTGCTTAAACATATAAGGTATTAAACCTTGGATAGTCATGGTCAGTCCATGAAATGAAATATAGTTCATTGTTTCAAACGTTTATCAGAAATTCGAATAGCGTTGCTGTAACTACCTGAATGGACCAAACCCTAGAGAGAATATGTCGCCCATGATGTCCTGTACGTAGGAAGGGTATCTGAACAATGTTCCATTCAGTCCCTGTTGACGACCCACATCAGCTCCTTAAATGTTAACATGTTACATAACATATTAGCTTCGATACGGGAACAAATCGACGTGCCATCCTGACCAAAGACAATGTCTCGACTTCATTAATTCAATTTCCCACTAATTGTTTTTCGTGGTTTCCTTAAATGACTAGTACCAAAAACAAGCGCACCCATGTAAATTTAGTCTGAGATTGGAATACACTTTGTTCATAATTTGAAAAGTCAATGATAATTCCAAATTCGAACTGATCATGTTATGGTTATTATGGCGTGATGAGGTGAAGGTGAAAGGATCTATTAAAGAAAAGTGTACCTGCTCTGTCGGCTTCCAGTAAAAAAGCATTCCCATAATCCCAGAAATACATCCCTCTGTCAGCAAGCTTGTTTATGGCAGCAATGTGTCTTCGAAGGCTGAAAAGGTACCGATGAACTCAGACACAGATATATATGAGATAAGTTACACCCAACTCAATATCAAACAAGTTTTGTTGAAAAATACCATACACTACCAAACGGCAGCATTACCAATCCATCAACCCAATAACAATCAACAGGCATGACATTCGATCAACCAAACAATGTCATATAGGACAATACATTAGTCTCAACCGTCTGTAATGACTTAACTAAGTCATACAGGACCAAACTGTAGTCTTAACATTTCATTTCATTTCATAAAATTTTATTAACATGATGTTAAGTCAAAAGGATTGAATAACAGGCAATGTCTATATAAATTCTCTCCATACATGGCCGAGTAATGAATTAAATAATGAATCATAGATTGACAAGAAATGGAAAATAAATAAACACAGAAAAGAGAAACAAATTAATATCATTAAAGGGGGGTAACTCTTACAAAATATCTTGCACACGCCTTACACACATACACAGATAAACAAGTACGTGTACACATTAGAAATACATTAATTTAGCATATATATACAATTTCTATAATCAGAAATTGGCAGACTCAGACCAAAAGTCCATGTGCAGTATATTGCACAGGTCCCTGCTGACAACAAGTGGTAAAGAGTGAAGAATAGCAAATTCTTTATAAAGTATTTAAAGAGTACAATTTATTTATACATGTAATAGTTGGACTTGCTCAACTGGAATCCACAAAGAGTAATATCAATTCATTAATTTAATTTAATTGAACATCTTGGCTTTTTAAGTCATAGAAAGATTAAAACAATGGGTTTTTCCAAACAAATAAGTACATTTGTATTTGTCTATTTGTAGGCCCACCACAATCAGGACAGCCACGAAGAAGAATGTTTACACCAATATAGTTATGATTGCTATATCTATTAAGTGAAGTGAAAAGAATATTTCTTTGGTAGTTATAACGGGGACGTTCCAGAAAGTAATGAGATACTGTTTCATGTCCAGCAGAGCAGTTACAAGCTGGACTATTAATAAGATGGTCATGGTGTAAATCAAAATTTAAATTACTACACGAGTTTCTAGATTGACAGTTTACATTTCATCAGCCCAATCAAATCAACAGACACAAGATTCCATCAACTCTTTCATACAAGGTCATACATACGTCTAAACATACGATCAACCCAGTAATGTGATACAGGACCACACAATAGTATATACAGCCTACATGTACCCAACGTCATTAAAGATCAAAATGTAGACTTAACAGTCCATCGACATAAGGTATACAAGACCAAACAGGCAACGTAGTAACTATATTTATAAATATTTTAAAACACTACCTTTCTTGGACCAGATTTTTAAATCGTATAGGATCTTCGTGCATGGTAGTCAGTGCTTCCTCATAGGAAATCTAGGACGAAATATATCGCACACTGATAGATTCAGAGTAATATACATGACAGCACAGGCATTATTGGCAAATGCTTCCACTCCACGATTACGAATAACATGGATTCATTTCAGTTATACTTTTGATTAAAGACCATGGTTTAGTCGTCCTGTTTAGAGACCGAAAAATTGAAGAATAGGTACAGATGAATGACGTATTTACGCTTATTTAAGAGTTTCTTTACTTGCATCATAAAGGTCTAATTATATTAAATGACAATACTTGCCTCTACTTTCAATACATTATAATTCAAATTGATAACGTTATTTTTATGTTTCTCATGCTAAATGACATACATCATTGTAATTGATACTGTAACTAGCCATGGTAAAAGGAATGATCGATAAAACAGAGAACATCATTACAGCTGTTTATATACTCAGACGTAAGCGGACATTCCAACCAATGAATAATGTAAAATATCTATACAAAAACACGCTGTGTGGTTAGATTTGGATCTATAAAGCGATTACACCAGATCGTACCTGTACAGGGTAGTATCCGCCGAGGTATGGATTGTGGCATGATGTCTGGTCTGACCCAAGATCCACTAACATATCTCCAGTATTCTCATATTCGTACACTAATCTCTCCCTGGTAATTTCATATAAAAAAATCGATCTCATCAGAACCAGGTACAACTACAAATATCCAACAATTTCTTGAACTCTCATCATTGGATAGTTTATATGCATGTATATTTCAAAGTTATTTATTTTGTTTTTTGAATAATACAAAGCTAGATTTAAAATGGGAACGCACGAGAGCTACATAACTGACATTATTTAAAAACGGAAGTCATTTTACATGGACGTTATTAATGTAATGGGATTCATCTCCTCACGCTTATAAAGGTGTGCCTCTTTTACCATTTTATAATGGAGCTAAGTATACATTTATTTTACATTTGAATACAAAGCAACAATACATTTCTAAAAAGTAATTCCATTACCATATGTCAACGACATTTCCATGGTAGCCCAAACTCAAAGTTCTCTTTTGTTTCCGCGCCTGACGAAGGATCGCCATGCATTCGTCTAGGTTGTCGGTGACTTGCATCAACCAGCCTTGTTTGTATCGTTTATCCAATGCCTCTCTGCTGACCTGAAACGGGACAATTTATTCTACTTCAACGTTTAAAATAATTAAGGACAACAACTATTGAAAACGTACAAGGAAATTATCTTCGTATTGCAGCAGTTATCTTTGACTTCATCAACAAAAAATACCATGTAAATCTTCAATGTCGGTCTTGCCCAAGAATCATATGTTCCCAAAACTGGAGGTGGAACCATTTTATTTTTGACACATTTACTGCATTGACGGTGAATGACTACCTTACAGTGTTTCGATTACCTCTGCCACAAGTCCAATACAGCCACAGATAGCCGCTGCCTTGGGCTGGGCCCCGCTCATTCCTCCGAGTCCGGATGTGACAAATACCTAGCATGTAAACAGTTAGTACACTTGCACATAGCATGAGAATGAAAAGAAAAATTATGCGAAGCTAAAAAGGAGTATAAATCACATAACGACCACAGTCATATCTATATGATCTACATCATGAAGTAAAAGCCGTAAATTAACATCATCACAAGACCCATCGGCCGTAACGCTCACCTGAATTATTGAAAAAAAATATTTCAGTCACTTCGAGTGATTTCTATTGATTACTATCAATCTGCCATTCCATACCCATACCTCTAACCAGGTTTAAATTATTTTCGATTGCTGTTTAATGCAAATTTTGAAAAAAAAAAACCCACCTTAGATTCTTTCGTCTATGTAGAGTATTTGATTCTTTCAATTCTAGGTATTAAAAAGAAGTTTCAGTTAATTTGATCTTTTCTGGCATCACCCATCAGCTCTTGGGGCCAGTCAGTGTATATATGTGCATATCATTAAATTGCCATGCGCACTGATAGGTCTAAATTTGTATTATTTCTATGGAATGATAATTTAACAAATCATGTGCGAAAGGGTTATTTCCCTATACACGTATAAATTAAGTTAATCCCCTCCCCAGGGGTCAGGAAACTCATAAATTTTGTAAAGCACTTTTAGACCGTTCCATAAGAGCATTTGATTTTATGTCTGGGAATCGAGAAAAAAAATAAGACCTTAGTCAATTCTTAATTTTGTGGCTCCATACACCAACCTCTGGTGTCAATCTCGCCCAATATGCCTATGCCAGCAAACTGCCATATTATTATTTAAATTGAGAAGATACCATTTATTGATTTTATCACAATTGACCCTTGTGACATTGAAAGTAGGTAAATATTATCCATTTGAACAAACTTGGTAGCCATTCATCGCAGCATGCTACATGCCAAATATCAGCATCCTTGGCTTAGTGGTTATTAAAAAGACTTAAACGACGATGGACAAAGGGCGATTGGAAAAGGTCACTTGAGAATTCTGATCAACTTTCTTCAACATCAGTAACTTTTCTTTTATAGGATATGGGATTAACCTAATTTTAAAAGCTAGTAAGAAGTACAAATGTACTAGAATTTGCAGTTTAAGGAGATTGGAAGTTAAACGAGTTGGATTTATGACAAAATTTGTTTTGCTTGCAATTACTATAATACCTTTGAAAGTATTTCGGTTATAGATGTTAATATTAAAACCTGTATGTTTACCTTGCCTGCCATGTCCGTTATACCTAGGTGTTTTCTTGCAGCGTTAAGAATAGTAAGCTACAATAAAAAAGCACACGTGTAACGCTTCAAAATGATAGTTATTCGTTAATTAAGTGTGGAAAATAAACGTGTGAAATTAGATTTATTAAGATATATCTGAAAAGGATAATTGTACCCACGTAATTTTGATTCTTGACATCTATAGTGTATCTGTTGCTTGGTTTGTTTTGTTTTATTTATTTGATAATTAGTATACTTTGCAGTGTCAGCTTACCGTGGTACCATGAACTATCCCCTGTGGTCCTATGTAACAGTAACTACCAGCAGTCATCTGTCCATACCTATACCACCGCACACGACAAATATGTGTAAGATTTTGTAACTATGACAAATGTGAATAAATGAATGATTTGCAATGAGACTCCTTAAAATAATGATAATACAAAGTAAGGTATTACCGAAATAAAACCTGCAATAAACTCCAGTATACATATCTCGTATACTAGAATTTTTGTTTGTTAAATACGACACGACTGTTAATGTCCTCGCCATTATATGGTCGATTCGTCAACTTTTTGACTCCCATTTCCTTATAGTGTCGTGTCCATGGATAGAGATATAGATTGAACAGAGTGTTAGTAAGTATAAAAATGAGAAAATGCTAGTTCTTTTTTGGTTAAGGTCGGGTTTTCACTTCCAGACCTGTTCTTTTGTTCAAGAGATTTCAGTTTAAACTCCTTTTCATCAAGTTCTTTATGGCACGATTGAGCTAGTTAAGCTATACATGAATTTAAGTCTTGTCGGCAGGGTAATTCGGGTTAATATTGTGCATTTATGTTTTCCTTTCTCTTTTTACTGCAATAGTTAATATAAAGAAGTTTTTATCACCATGTGCTGTAGTTCTTTAATTGTCAATTAAACAAACAAAGAAATTTTAACTTACATCGTGACCCCTAGTGCAAACATCTTCTCGTAATCCTGTCTTGATGAGTAATTTGGTATAACCTATTGAAGTATTGGTTCATTTATTACATTTTAAATAATGTAACAACGTATTTAAATGGATATTAAAACAGAAACTGAACACATATGAACTTAGACGCTAAACTTTGTTGCTGTTGATTTGTTCAAACTTTTAAGCAAGCACCAGGAAAAAGGCGTCTACCATGGATTAATGTTTATTCTAAAGACATATCAATTCCTTCTCTTTCTGATCAGATAAGATAATCTTGATCTTGTACGCTGACGACATTGACAGTGTATTTACAAGTAATGACATCTTGGTTGTATTTTACAATGAATTACCCATTTCTATATTCAACATACCATGCCATTGGTAATGACCAATCGGGGTGCTGATGTACTACTAGGGAACAGGCCAAGGGGATGTCCAGAATTCATTACCAACGTCTGATCGTCTGTCATCTCCGACAAGTATTTCATCACCAACCAAAACTAAGAAGGAGACAGAAGCTTGCTCGTAATATATATATATATACCATTGTACCATTATCAAATGTTAGCTGGTTATCCTGGGAATTGGGGTTGCTAACTGAACAAAGGCAAATTCAGCGAGAAGCCCTAAACTTCTAAACTGAAATTGCTCTTAACCAACTGACATTCACATCCTTTGAATGCCAACGCCAACAAGTTCATTGTTTAACTGGCAGGTAGCGAAAAGGTTCATGTAATAAATGTTTTTTCTGTAGCAATGACACCTTTGATATTCTTATCTTTTATAATACATGTTTTAGTACCATTTTATCTCGTATGATCGCCAGAAACAAAACTCATAACGAACTCTTATTTCAAAATAGTACCCACCGTGTCATTATGTTATTTACATGTATGTATTTATATATATATATATATGATCAATGAAGTAATAGCGACAGTACGGACAAGCGAATTGTCAAATTTTCGAGGAAACTTGTCCCTTTATCTAGACACAAAATTTATATAAACTACATCACATACATAGAGCATAAAACAAATAAAAGTTACAAATCTAAATCGCGGGCGGTGGTGTAAATTTCATGTAGAGGGATGATGACCTCATACCTGTGCCCAATTGGACAACACCTGTCCATTTCCACCATATGTCACTAACTCCTGTGGGAATTGAGCCACACGTGGGTCAAGGTTGTTTAAAATCATATGCATAATAGCTGCCGCATGTCTATTTCTAGCTGGGATCTCCCCGATAGGAAAAGCCCTGTATAAAAAAGTATATCAAAATGTTTCACAAATGTACCAATGAAATATCCGTTGACAATAATTTATAAGAATAATATAAGACTTTCAGAAATTCCAAAACAGAGCCACCGATCAGAATGATCCGTTGCATACATCTTGTTTGGGAAGACAAATACGCCTTTGCCACATGTGTTACACATTAAAATGCTAAATACATTGAAGAACATCACATATTGGTCATAAATAATATCAAAAACATTAAACTGCCAAGCTAGTCTGTAACATTTCTGGAGCTTTGATCGGATCTTCCTTAATACATCTAGAAGACCCTGTATACATAGGTTAATTGTAATTGCGAAATCTGATGTTGTTACGTTGTATAACAAAGGTACCTCATTTGAATCTGAGGTAGGAATCGGTACATGTATATATGTCCATAATTCTGTAGTTCATCAGCAAACTCTGGTGCCAGCGTCTCGTGTAGATTGGGCGGGAAATATCGCAGCGAGTTTTCCAGCGCTAACTGTAATTATATGTATTTAACGATTGATTAGTAGTTTTATAATTTTATGCCAAAGATCCATGTGATTTCTGTTAGCGTTTACAACACAAACAGGTAAGAAAGCACAGCGGGAAAAAAACGCTCATCTTTCACCAAGTCATCCTCGGTTGACTCATCCGATCGGATGTGCAAAGATAAAACACCTTCCTAGCTCCTAGCGAACTTAAATGCAGGTCGTTGTTACTTCCTTATTAGATGATGAGGTAGTTTAAAGATTTGACAGTAGATGTAAAAGATGATATATTTGTTCTATGCAATTGGAACCGATTGAAGACGGAGATGTTGTCGGTATAGTTGGTGATCAGCATGGGAGATGATATTGCTAGAAACAGATGGTAGGATGGTTTCCATGGGAGATGTGGATGTTGGGGAGGAGGATATAACATCGGCTGTGATCGAGTTGTCTGAGCTGTACATAGTCAGATGTTTAGGAACTGTAGATATTTAAGTGACAAGAAACAGTGGTCGATGATGTTGCTAGATTAGGAACGGAAAGACAGTTAAAACAGTAAAATAAAGGTGGTTTTACTGGTGGGGTATCTATATTGTAATTAAGCATTCCGATATAGTCTTCTGCAAATAAGAAATTAAGGTGAATATGACTCTAAATGGACGAACAAATGTATATCTGCGTTAATCAACATACCCTCTGTTCCTCAGGGGAGAGATCGGGTGTCCTCACGGGAGCGTGTGGCACAGATTCGTCTCTTTCTCTCCTAGGTGGAAGGGGGTCCAGTGGAAGACCCTCACAAATTTCTTTCAACGAGGACATATTCCTTGTCTTTTCCGCTGTTTATTATACCGGTTTAGTGTTCATCCTGTTAAGACGTAATGCTTTATCTGTAATATTGGTCATGAACCTTACTTGCTCTAGATAACCTCATTTAATTCTATAGGTGTAATGTTTACTGTTGGTTTTGTCACGAGCATAGTTATCTTAAAATACTCTTAGTATTAAATTTGCAGTGCGTGGGTATCTATGTATAGACAAAATTAATGACAAGAAATACATTCAGTAGGATATAACGATGATACCAGTTTATTTCCATATCGGATGTAACTGTTGATGATAACATGTGGAATTACCATTGCATGTTTTCTGTCGCTGAATGAAGCAATTCCCTACGCGAAGTTGTAATTTTCATTACATCCATTTCCAGTCTCTGACATGATCGTGGTGCATAAGACGGCGATGACACCACGGAGATAGATCTAAGTCCGTGGTAACACATTGGTAGTGGGTATGTCGGCGTGTGTCAGTGAAGCCATGAATCATGCAGTTCAAAATGTTGATCAACTTGTGTTCATTTTTAAGCAGTGCCGATTTCATGTTAATTTAAATTTGTTTTGACATGTACACAAAGTTTATGTTACCTGATATACCATCCAGCTTCGTATGTTGATATCGTCGTGTTTTTCTCACATCAATGCGTTTGCTGAAAGCAAACGTCATCAACACTACGACAATCATTGTGTTAAAAGGCCTATATCACTAAAGTCACGGTTAATACATCACCATAGATGCATAAACACATTATGTTGAAAATCTGATATTTTCTCACATCGAGACGTTTGCTACAGGCGATAAGACTACAATATCCCTTATGGCCATATCTCTCCGTGGTTGCATGGACATCTTCTTCGTCACCCGTGCAGACTTCCATTTTTTTTAAAATTCTTAGTAGTGAACATCCAGTGCTGTCGGAATTTGGGATCTGATATTTTCTTTAAACAATTTTTTTCTCAACGTCTCCCTTTAATTCAGTTGAGCTTTAACGCTTTAGGTTATGTCCCTTATCCGAGACATACCAGAGTCATGAAACGGTAGTTACTACTTCCTACTATAAGCCTAATAAATGTGTTTCCGTTGCTGTGCTGTTTTGGTCTCCTGTCAGGAATTCCTAATATTTACATTTTGACCCTCGTTTCAATTAATTTATGCTTTGTATGCATGCCTGTGTTCTTATATATTTATGAATATAGTTAAGGAGTTATGTTCTATATCAGAAGAGAAAAACAGGTGTTAGGTCGTAACCAGGACACTATGCATTGGTGTTTGTGTAATAGCCTATAGCTCAGTCCAGCTGTTAAACAAAACCTTTGTCACTACCATTTTAGAAGTAGGAAATCTGGGTTACAGCCTTATTATGAAACTGTTACTCAAGAAGTAAAATTAATAAGTGGATTTTAAAGAACTCCTAAGAGCTTCTGACTAATCTTCACCACATTCTTCTAAACGCATTTGTTCAAGAAAATTTGATTTTTCAGCTCTTTACACTACCATACCCAACTCTTATTTGGAAGAACGCATTCGTTCCCTTGCGCTGAGAGTCTTCTATTCCACGAAAGGTGAACGGCGGTATCAATGTATGGTTGTAAACTATACTAAGCGCATTTCGTCCAAATCAAAGAAGAAATACACGAAGAACGAAATAAAAAGAGTGATCGAGTTTCTGGATGACAACATCTACATCGGGTTTGGTGGTAAGAGTTCCCAATAGGCTATTGACATACTTGTAGGAACTAACTGTGCCCCTGTGTTGTTTGACATGTTTTTGTTTTTATATGAGGCTGAATTTATATAAATTAAAGACATCTTGTCGTTTATTAACAAGAGATTTATTGACCACGTCCATTGTATATACCCACCAGAATTGGAATCAGGGACACAACGGACTTTTCTACATCAGCCATTCTGCCTATCTCGATCTTTTCCTACAACAAAGCCAACATGGACAGCTTTCCATCAAGCTTTATGATATCGCGAATTTTCCAGTTCTTGATAGCATTATCTCTGCATCTACAACCTATGGTATTTCCATGTCACAGCTGATTCGATATTCATGGGCCTGTTTCCATTATAACGATTTTAATGCAGGAAGTCGTCAACTGACGGTCAAGCTCGTAAGACATAGGTTCAAAAGATACAGGTTGATGAAAATTTTGGGGAAGTTTAATCGTCGCCATAGTGATTTTATTGAGATATATTTTATTTCTTTGCGTGATATGAAGCTGGACGTATTTGATACTCGTTAGTTTTCAGAACGCGACATTACGTACTTGGATTGACCAAAGTTAACACGACGGATGTTGTCGTTGAAACGGAAGACCCTTACTCTTCTGGAGCACCTGGTCTTATTCTCATTTTCCTTTTCCAATTGTCTCCTTGTAAACCTTTCTTTTGTTCTTATTTTGCCCTAGTCTTATTGAATTTGAGTTTTGATTATGATTATGTTGACATAAACATATTTTCAATTGTCTAGACATTGAAATGACCTACCAACATTGAACTTATAGTTCATCATGACAACTACTATACATACAGAAAAAACACGTTGAAAAATTATTTTTGATATTTCTTCTACGCTGCATTGTGATATTTGAAAATAAATACTCATTAAAGCTTGTAATTTAGACATTTCTTCTATACATCAAAACTTACACAATGTGAATAAAATAATTTTTCATGCAATGCTTCCTGGGATAAGATGTTTTTACACACAATATTAACGTTTTTCAAAAAATTCAAATTTTGGTTGCCATGGCAACATTAAAACCCGAAAAGAAATAATTTTGTTTTAAAATTCTAACAAATAAGTTTTTTCAGTTTCCAATTATATATTCTGGTGGTTGAGTAAAGTGTTAATTCTCTTATACAAAACTTTTCTTATGTATTGAAATTTAGGCAGACCAAACTGAAATTTTGTGGGCCCATCAAACTCCGATTTCATATTTCCTTAGCGAATGTAACCATTTTTACTTTGATAAAAAGCATTATCTGTAGTATGACTTAAGTTAGCATTCAACAAATTTTAGTTTCATTCGGTGTTGGTGCTGCATAATAGAAAATATCTGGTTTAGATTGCATACGCTAGCGAACACGAATGACCAATGTCATTGTTACGTCTCATAGAAAATCGATTTCATCGACGTATAGCATGTATAAGGATTTGAGTATGAATATGCCGACGATCGTAGTAATTATCTGCAGTCTCTGATACAATATTGAAGGTGCTTTCATATTATTACTTCTCACTTCAATTTAAAGGTCTATACCACCAATACCTAAATTTTTCTTTTTTTTTTTTTTTTTTTACATAGCAGCTTGAACTTTCTTTGTCTGATAGAACACGAATTTCAAAAAATCAGAAATTTTTTTCAGACCTGAATGTCAAAGATCGAGATCAGTTAAAACTATACTGAGAAAGTGACTCAAAATATGTTGGAACTCCACACTGTGTTTCCTTTCCAACAGGGCTTACTAGAGATGAAATGCACCTGAATTTCAGTATGTCCATTATTGACATTCTCTTTTTTAAAGTTAATGATTTGGGTCTCATGAAATTTCCACCAAATTACCCGTATAAATGAACTAACGAGCTTAACCAGATTTGAATTTCAACATGTACACAAAGTTTTTAAGTGAAGCCAGTGTCCCTGTCTCATTTGCAGTCTACAAAGATATCTCTGGATATTAGTGGTAATGCATTAAACGTGTATATGGTAACATAAATGACTCAAATTATACGCTCGACACACATGTGTATATCATATTATTATCATAACAACTAAAGAACTTTTTAATTTTGCTTAAAATTGTGGTCTCGTGAAGAAGCGCCTTTTAAAAAATATTACAGTCTATAACCCCTATTATACGACGCAAATTTGCTTATATATGCAAATTTACACACGAGTAAATTTACGCACATAAGTAAAAGTCAATTTGCTATGCGTTAATAAGAGATTTATGTACCGCCAGTAAATCCCCAAATGGAGATGGACCGATTCAGACTGGTGAATTTTCACAGAAAAAGGATATTCCCTTGCTGTTTGGGAATAGGACTAGCTATTGGATGTTCCCGAATCAAGGAAACTAGAAGGAAAGTCCGATTCACTGAATGGTACGACAGAACCGTAATTAATGACTTTAAGGACAAATATTGGTATGATTTTTTTCGAATGAAAAAGGAAACATTCTTAAAATTTTGTGAAAAATTGGAAAATGCTTTGACCCCGGCACGCATATTTCCATCATAGCTCCTAAGCATTCCTATGGAGACTACTTGAAAGGGTTTTACTCCTTGATTTTGCAGGGTGTTTGGGACCACAGCTATATCTTTAGAGACATAAATACAGGTTGGCCAGGAAGGGTCCATGATGCAAATTCGGAAATTTATCTCAAAGGAGATAATGGCTCCTTGTTTCCAGAGTGGCGAAAGCCATTTGGGGAAAGTACTATGCCAGTAGTTATTCTTGTCGACCCAGCGTATCCTTTGAAGACTTGGCTTTTGAAGCCATATACCAACAGATCTACCCTTACAGAAATTCAGTCTACTTTCAACTATCGTTTAAGTAGAGCACGAATGACCATTGAAAATTCGTTTGGTCGTTTGAAAGGCGTTATGTTTACAGACTTATATTTTTCCCGCCAAAGCACACACAACCATAACAACGCTTAAAATAGAGACTGATGCAATACACATGACAAAATACTTACATAAGTAAATTTGCTGCGTGTTCATACGACAAAATTTACACAAGGGAGCAAATCATTTGCGACAACATGTATGCAAAAGTTAATTTGCACCTAGTCCTGACCAGGTGCAAATTTACTTAACTGTGCAGTGTTGAGTAGTGTGTGATTAAAAGCCCGGACAAACCTATTTCTTTTATATAGGTCAAAGGTCACAATTGAGGTGGCGGTTACATGACACAAAGTCCTGTATGATTCTCCAGTCACAAATACTTTAAAAGAAACATTTTGTTTGATGTAGGTCAAATGTCAAAATGTAGTAAAAATGGCCTCCTTTCCATACGTGACACGTCGCCTCACCGAAGTGAACTCTATTCCAAGTATAAAGTTCTCGTGATTAGTAGTGTGGAAGATAGGGCTCGGATAATCGTCAAAATGTAGATCAGAATGACCTACTTTTAACAAGCAACTCGCCGTCTCATCAAAGTGAACCAATATCCCAAATATGAAGTTCCGGACATTTTTTTATATAGGCTATGTAGGTCAGAGTAATCTACTTTTGAGACAGAAAGCACCAGAGGAAACCTCGCCAATCTGTATGAGGTACCCCACAATTAAACGCCTCATATACAAAAAGCAGTCTTTTCCCGTCACGTGCGGGGAACCAAATGTAAAGCATTTTCATTGTGTTAAGGTATTCCCACCCTAATGGACCACTTCCGGTTATAATCCCGGCGAATGCCGATGTTTTATAGATCAAAGAGTTGACGTTCATGTCCTTAATTTCAGCGCGGAAAAGGCCAAAAATATGCCTTCCTTACATCCTTTAATATCACAAGGCATTTTTAAATATGCTACTGCTGAAAATATTGCAAACTCTGGCTTAAACTTCCAACATCTGAAAAAAAATATTCCAAAGGTATGGTGAAGATGGTCTGAGAGCAATATTTGTGCAAAAGAACTGTGATGGACAGCCGCGGATCTCTTCTGCAAAGCGTGTTCTGGATTCTGTAATTCCAAAGCTTATTGAACTGTTTGAAAAGTAGGAAAAAATGAACTTTTTATATAGCTATAATGGTAACACTTTTTTGTGTAAAAAGGACTTGATTTCTTATTCGTTTTTGTTACATAATAAATTATGTGGTCATAATCCGGGTCAAGGTCAGAGGTCAAGGTAAAAAAATATCAGAAATAGATAATTTTTATTACTATTCTACTTGTAGCCTTCAAAGAGTTTAGTATTTATAGTCTGTTTGGCTATGATGCCTATTGTGGTAAAAGTTGCTAAAAGTTATTTGAAAGTTTTCAGAAGGTGTGCCAGCAAGTATTTAAACAGATTTTTCATTTGAAAACTCTCTTGTCACACTCAGTTTACCTTACAAAGTGTCTTTGTCACTTTTCTAAGAGTGACAACGAGGGTACCGGGATAACACTTTTTCGCATATCGTACATTGTATATGAATGTGATATGAATATCAGCTATTTTATTATTCATTGCTGTTATTATGGTATGTAAAACATGTTTTTGTTTGAAATTAAGTTTTTTTATTGGGCATACACTAATATTTTCACCGTATCCAACCAGCATGCTATGTGACACCATTGAAGTACTTAAATTTTTGTTAGATGAAAAAAACTTGTGGATAAGTATTGTCAGTAATGGAGTATACATTGTGATCTTTATGAATAAGGTGAAATTTTTTACTTTTGGTTTTGTCCCTATTAAAAGGCTTTAAGGGCTGAATACCTTAATCTTTCAAAACGTGATGTACAAGGGTATCTTCTTGCTCATCTCGAATACACAAGGGTTCTCTTCCGATAGTGTATAAAGAGTGGTAGATTATTGCGCCCTCTGGAACTTATAGGAGGGTGTCACTATAGGCTGCACCTGTAGTTACCTTTGACAATTTTGATAATAAATAAATAATTTTGAATGAAGTTTTTGTGCGCAATATGTTTGCAGGCCTGCAAAGCTCTCTCGTGAAAAAGACTTAAAAAGATATTTTTCTTTTTAAGTTCTGTTGTTTGTATTTCATTTTTCTGGTGCATCTACTGTATTACGCCATTAAAACAACGAAGATTCTTGGCTCGGCGAAATGTTCATTCTTTGTCGTTAATTCATTAAATTGTAAAACCCTACCAAAATGCATTGTATTTGTGTTGTATTATGATACCGTATCGTTTAATTTTACGTTTTTAGCTAATGACGACAATGTACGTTCTTAATTCTAAAGAATATAAGCACATCATAGGGCCGTGATCGATCCGGAAAATATTACCGTTGTACGGTTTCAAATTGATATACACTGTTTTGTTCCGGTGTGACACGCCAACAGGTGACAGGTGTGAAGTTTTTAGTGTGGATGTGGACATCATCTTAGCGGATTTATTATATATTCTAATGCTCTGACTATTGACTATTTGTTGAGTACAGCTGTGACACCCGATCTATTTATTCTGCTATGTAATTAACGCCTTCAACCGCAACATGGCTCAAAGCAAAGAGGAAACGGAAGTAATGATACAATACAACAACGGTGAAAGTCAAACCCGAAACACCACCAACGCAATGGCGACCCCAAAACCATCAGGTAAGACTAATGGTATTACCGTGTCATGTTATCCTTTCAAACTTCATTAACTGTGCGTTTATTTCGCAATTGATTTAATATATGACGGAGACACTGACAGTTGTTCAACAAGACTCGATTCCAAACGTCCACGATCAATGGCCGGCTAGTCGTTATACATGTAAGAATAATCAGTGATACTTGTTGATAGCGTTGTCAAGTTGGCAGCCACGTAGTACAAAACCGTTTCTCTGTGAAAGTTTTTCACTGTAGCTGCACTCTCTGGTTGTTTACAAAGTGGCAAATGCCTTGATGTGCGTCTTCCTGTTGTACAACTTGATATCATATCGTGTGTTGATGTATATTTTTAGATTGTTTACGTATACACAGTTTAAGTTCATAATGTATTTGGAAATATGATAAGTTCATCATTTTATCGCGGACGCGGAACATATATTTTAGTCAATAAAGTGGCCCATGAAGTGTACTGTGTTGGTCTTCAACCCTTGAAAGCTATACCAGTAGTATGTAATGACACATTTTCATTCTGGTAAAGTAGGACACCGGCTGATACATTTGGTATAAGTTTCAAAAATAGCATATATTACATACCTACTATGCACTGTTGTTATTTGAAACAATGTTTTACACAACAAATTTAAGAAACCACAATCAACAAATTTACATAAATCAATGAAAACTATAATTGACATGGTATGTAGCCAACAAATTGTCATACAATTCTTTATGACAACTTTCAAATTTGTTTAAACAGTGACTGAAAAAGATTCAGTATTTTCTTTTTCATCTTACACATAAAACTCTTCATCTTTACTATAAAAAGGTGAAAGATGAGGTTTCCAGCAAATCTAATTTCCCATAGATGTTGGTCTAAAGATTTTTTCACCCTTTGAGACCACTCACTGATACATTGCTTTGTGACATCATTTAGCCCAAATAAAACAGTTATGCTCATGCCTAATTAACTAACTATGTAACTAAATTACTAAACTATGAACATGAATTGTCACAAAACAGATAAAAAAATAATAAGTTATTTAAACGAAATAGGAAAACTGAAATCATAAATTTAATATCAAAATACTTAATCAGTAAGTATACCTCCAATATTTCTCATTTTGTGAGAAAAATGTAAATTTTTTGCAAACAAATAACATTTTGAATGCCTTCCATATTCAGTCCATTTAAAATTATTTAGCATATAGATAACTTTATCTCTTACACTAACCCTGCCCAAAGAGCAAACTTCACCATTTGTGCAAAGTGTTAATTTTAGGCTTTGATGTGTATCACTGGAAAGATAGTGGATTCCACACTATGTATGAGGAGTTTCAATCAAAACTCAACCATATTGCCCAAGCATGCAATACACCAACTTATTTTTTTGAAATGTACGCTGATGAAAGAGAAATGTTGATTTCCCAGCTCAAAGGACATCATCATTGATCTTTTGGAGATATTACATATGCTATCAAAGCAGTAGTCTTCTTTTACTCTGCATTTCTCTTCTCTGGATGATGCAGATTGTAAAGCCTGTACTAGTACAAAGAACATAGTTTCTAAAAACTCTTTCTTATTGTTCATTCTCTATTGGCACTGGTATTTACACTCCAACCCACAAGGGTACACTATTTTGACAATAAATATGCTTCCTTATTTAAAACCTGGGCAGACTCAACATGATGACCTACAATAATCTAACCTTGATATATCTATAACTAAATGCAGATTCATTGATGTCATTGAGGCACTCATTAGAATAGTAATAGCCACGTTCAATGGAATCTGAGGACCTATATATGTTAGAACACAAGAGTGAGACACAAAGAATAGAGCACTGCCTGCCAAAATGAAAGTGTGCCTTAGTTCACAACAACTTAGCTCAACATATGAAAAATGAACCAGATCTTACCAGAAGGGCCAAGTCACTATTTGTCAAACTAGATGCTACTGCAAATAATTGTGACTTTTTTAAAGTAAGGCATGGAATACCTTTGGACAATATCTGTGGCACATACTAACTATCATTGGCAGCTGGCTATATAAGTGAGCATCTCATGAGACATGGTACGATGTCAGATCCACTTGAGGCGTAAGAGCAGTGTAAAGTTCAGTGTTTGGATCCAGCATGAAAGCTCCGATGACATTTATCCCATCAAAGATTATTATTGCCACTGTCCTACATGACAGAGAACCATGGGGATATATGCCCACGTTGCCAGTATCCAGTACTGTTTAGGATACCACATGCATTCGGAAACCAGTAAATCTTTGCATCCAATGTCAAAAAGTTTTTAAAGACAAACCTCAAATAATGTAGATTTTGCTACCAGCTGTCATCTTCAAGGCATTTAGTATGAACTTGGACCATTAGAAATACATTTCTATACGATGTAGACCAATACTGACATGGCCAATCAGATTCTAGGGTGAAGAAGCCAGATAAGGCAGTTTAATGTGTAAACCAACTTAGATCAATCATTTAGCATTCTTGTTAGAATATTGATTCAGCAGTTGTAAGAACATTTAATTTTTGTTGTTATCAGGGAACATGATGACCATTTTGAAAGTTTAGATTTCACTTTAGAGTGTTATTAGTGTAGGTGACAGTCCCATTGTACAAATTAAACCAAGTGTAAGTATTTCATTTCAGTTCACTTTACAATACTTCAATCCAAAACAGATTTTCTCCTTTGCCTGTTTTGCCTTTAAAAATACATGCACATAGCAGTATTTTGAATTAATTTTGATTACTTTGCACAAAACTCCTAATTATTTTTTTTTTTTTTGGCAATTTATTTTGTACTGTTTGAAGATGTCTTTTAGCACCTGATTTTGAATGGACTCCAATAGAACTTGTATTTTGACCTCCAGAAACTTTTGCTTAATGTAAGATAGGAACATGTTCTTTTGCAAAATCCATCACATTTGTATGTCTTATTCCCATTGTATTCAAAACTTTAACTTCTCGTTTGTATATATGATATTTAACCTGTTATAGTCAGCATGTTCATGTTTAGTTTCCTTACATCAACTTCTCCAAAAAAGCACATTAATAGACAGCTAAGAATTTTGAGTCAAGTGAATATTTCCAAAGGTTTTAGAAACCTCTCTGTCCATTTAATGCCTTGTATCTTCTTCCATATCCTTTTATAATCATCACGTAACAAAACACTTCAATGCCTACTTAAAGCCTAGTTGACATGATGCAGCATTTCAATTAATATCCTTAAACAGGTTTTAACTTGATTGTCTCACCTGATAAATTACAGTTTATTAAAATGTTAAATTAATTTTTAGCCCACCATCTATTCAAATAGATGGTGGGTTATTCAAATCGCCCTGCGTCCGTGGTCCGTCGTCCGTCCGTCCGTAAACAATTCTTGTTACCGCTATTTCTGGAAAAGTACTGGATGGATCTTTCTCAAATTTCATATGCAGGTTCCCCTTGGTCCCTAGTTGTGCATTGTACCTTTTTTGAACTGATTCGCATTCAAGATGGACGCCAGGTGGCCATCTTGGATTTTGGAAGTAAAAGTTTGTTACCGCTATTTCTGGAAAAGTACTGGATGGATCTTTCTCAAATTTCATATGCAGGTTCCCCTGGGTCCCTAGTTGTGCATTGTACCTTTTTTGAACTGATTCGAATTCAAGATGGCCGACAGGTGGCCATCTTGGATTTTGGAAGTAAAAGTTTGTTACCACTATTTCTGAGAAAGTACTAAATGGATCTTTCTCAAATTTCATATGCAGTTTCCCCTTGGTCCCTAGTTGTGCATTGTACCTTTTTTGGACTGATTCGAATTCAAGATGACCGACAGGCAACCATGTTGGATTTTGGAAGTAAAAGTTTGTTACTGCTATTTCTTGGAAAGTACTGGATGGATCTTTCTCAAATTTCATATGCAGTTTCCCCTTAGTCCCTAGTTGTGCATTGTACCTTTTTTGGACTGATTCGAATTCAAGATGGCCGACAGGTGGCCATCTTGGATTTTGGATGTAAAAGTTTGTTACCGCTATTTCTTGGAAAGTACTGGATGGATCTTTCTCAAATTTCATATGCAGGTTCCCCTTGGTCCCTAGTTGTGCATTGTACCTTTTTTGGACTGATTCGAATTCAAGATGGCCGACAGGCAGCCATCTTGGATTTTGGAAGTAAAAGTTTGTTACTGCTATTTTTTGGAAAGTACTGGATGGATCTTTCTCAAATTTCATATGTAGTTTCCCCTTGGTCCCTAGTTGTGCGTTGTACCTTTTTTGGACTGATTCGAATTCAAGATGGCAGACAGGTGGTCATCTTGGATTTTGAATGTAAAAGTTTGTTACTGCTATTTCTTGGAAAGTACTGGATGGATCTTTCTCAAATTTCATATGCAGGTTCCCTTTGGTTCCAAGTTGTGCATTTTACCTTTTTGGACTGATCTGAAATCAAGATGGCTGACAGGCAGCCATCTTGGATTTTGAGAGTAAAATCTTTTTACTGCTATATCTGAGGAAGTCTAGGATGGATCCTTCTGATGTTTCATAGATATTGGTTTCCCTTGGTCCCTAGTTGTGCATTGTACCTTTTTTGGACTGATTTGAAATCAAGGTGGCCCACAGGCAGCCATCTTGGATGTCAACAGTAATACAGCACAAGCATATTGTCCATTATCCACCTGTAACTGACTGCTATCTAATAATACTTTGGGATCTTTTTCAAATGATATTTGCTAATAGGTGCTTAATAAAAATATCTTGTGCCATCATTGAGTACATTCAATGAAGACCAGTTCATGAACATTTACAACACCTGTAACAAACAAAAAAAAATCTTCAAGAACTGAAAACAGATCCTCAAATGGTGGGCGCCAAGATCCCTCTGGGATCTCTTGTTGTTTTATATGAGATGTCATGAAAGGAGTTTTTATCTTTTTGAACCTTGGCGATTTAAACTTTGAGATGAGTTTCATAATAGCCATGTAAATTTCTGTCAGAGTATAAATCCATTGTATGTTACAGGTATTTGTGACATACAATATGTGTGAGAATTTCCATTAAGTATGTCATTTTTCAGGTTTTTAGGTCATCTGACCGAAGGGTCTGATGACCTATTGCGATCACCTTTTGTCTGGCGTCATCCAGTGTCCGTCGTAAATATTTTCAGCTTCTTCTCAATTCTACATGCCTCATTGAGCTGAAACTTACCTGAAATGATTGTGACACGATCCTGACCAAAGTTTGGTAATTTCGGGTTGGTCCGAAATCCAACATGGCTGCAATCTTCAAACCACATTTTCCACTTCTCTTAAGTTCAAAATTTGAAATTTTGTATTTTATGTCGGATGACCGTTAAGGCCCATAGGTCTTTTTTTTTTTAACTTTGAAATATGATTATGCCCATAATTCACAAGAATGACATCTTATGATTTTTTTCCAACCAAGAAAATGAATATCAAGTATTATATATCTTGATTTCAAAATATACAAGAGGAATGCAACTCTCTTATTTTCACAATTTATAGATTTAGATGAACCACATAAAAACCACAAGTGGTATTCATCCAATGTAAATGAATGTAAACACAACCTTAGACATTAAGAATATTGCTGCTCCCAAGGTATCATATTCTCCTTGTTATCACAGTTAGCAATATTTTGAAAATTGTTTTGTTATTACAGATTCCAATGCTGTTTTAAAGTCTGTGAGCTTGGTGTTACTGACCCTCCAAAATGCTGCCCTTATACTGGTTATGCGCTATGTACGTATTAGAAATGGAGACATGTTCATGGCCACCACAGCTGTCATCATCTCCGAAGCTCTCAAGTGCCTTACATGCTTGGTCATCATATTTTGTGAAGAAAAATTCATCGTAAGGAATTGGATAAAACATCTGTATGACAATATATTCAGTCAACCCATGGACTGTGTGAATGTGTCAGTGCCCTCACTGATCTATGTTCTACAGAATAACCTCTTATATGTGGCCGTTTCAAACCTAGATGCTGCAACATTCCAGGTATACTAAATTATATCTCTGTGAATACACTTTGATGATAGCAATTTCTTAAAGAGAATCTCAGTGTCTTGTAATGTGAAAACTTCCGCAAAGTTTTGAGCAATAATTTTTGATGGGTTTGTAAGAAAATTCCGCTTAGGTCACAGTCCAGATGTGGGGTTGATATTTTGTTTTGCAAGGTTTTTAATGAGATGTCAAAACCTTTATTTATTATGTATTATGACACATGTAAATTTGATCAAGGATTTTTTTCCTATATGTCCAAAGTACCATTTTCAAAATTTTGATGAGCCCAGTTATAAAGAGAGTGTGTTCACAAAATTTGAGTGGGTCCCACAAGAAAAGCATGAATCCAGGATTCAAATATTTGAGTCACAAATATCACTGTTAAAACTTGTCATATTATTGACCAAAGCCTCTCAGATTAAAAAAAAATAAATGGTATGTGATATAGATGAGTTTTTTCATGTGTTAATGTAAAGCCTTATCGTCATCAAATCTTGTTGAATTTTACAAGTGTTTAACTCATGATAAAAGACAACAATCATTTATTTGAAACTTGACATCAGACACGAATGATATAAGCTCTTATAATCATATCGCCAAATCTTAAGTGGTTAAAATTTCATTTCCTGAATCTAAATGGAAATTGGAAATATCTTGACATGCAAAAAATCTGACTTTATATGTACAGTGAGTGATAGCAGTTTTTGCTCATGTACATAAATACAATATAGGCCATGGGTGTTTTTTATTGACTGATTTATTGGTATTTAAGTTGAATGATATAAAACAAGTTCACATGAATAACATAGAGAAGTGTAGATGATATAATATTAAAGATACAATATATTCCAGATCATTTCAAGTTATTCGTCTAAATTTATATCACAGACAAACTATTTGTATCATTACATACATATAATATAAGGTGTTAAAAGCACTGCTGTTAGTGTACTCGTGAGTATATTTGTTCTTGACTCCTTCAAAAGGAGCAAATCTTTTACTATTATGTGTTTAACAACTGTTTTGAGCCTCCATGTTTCAAACAAAATATAATTTTCAGAATGTTTAGTATGCTCATGGTAGTAGAATATTACTCAAGCTTTGCACCTTAAATAATGTAATAGCCGTAAATAAAAAATGATGTAATGGTTTAATTTAAAGTCAAAATCAGATAACCTGTGTTTGCATTTAGTGCTTTGTAAAGCATGAACATTCCTATCAGTATGACCTATATAGATGCATAGACACAATATGATAGCTGGATCAAAATTAATGATTATGTATGGAGGTGTTTATGCAGGCAATTTGAACCATCTCAAGATTATAGTGTAAGCCCTCAGCTTTAAAAAGCATATTGATATGTACATGTTCCTCACTGAATATGTTTTACATACACGTCTACTGGACGCTGGGATCCTTATATGTTTGAGTAGTACAAATGTTATATAATTACAAAGCAGAGAATGCAGTAGACAGAATGAATATATAAAAATGGAAAAACCAGAAAATATGGGTACTATGATATATCTATATTTTTTATAGATAGGTATCAAGCACAAGTAAAAATTTGTCTAACGGTACCTGCATCAGTAATGTGTTTTGATGACCAAATATAAGTAAATAAACACACAGCATCATATACAGTTATGAATGTACAAAGATACGAAGATCTCAGATTTAAATAACCTGTTGTAGTTGTACATTGTACTTTGTGTGTTCACAATACAATATTAGGAAAATAATGTTGAATGATGGTGAATGTTCAGAAAATAACAAGTTGTCTTCAGTGATATTCTGGTGATAACCATCAATCATCACAAACCATGAAAATAAACTGCACTGAATAAGAGTTGAAATAAAAGAAATAATGTATGTTTATAGTTATGAGGTGTTCACAAGGAAGTTTTTACCATTTTATCTTAGACTTAAACCTTGAAAGAAAGTATCCATGATAATTTCATGTTAAACAGTATGTATGTACATTATGTGTACCATACAAACATGTTGTTTATATGTTGTATATTATAATTACAGTATAAAAAATGTTTATTATGATATTTATCTATGAACAGGTTACCTATCAGCTGAAAATCTTAACAACAGCGCTGTTCTCAGTGGTGATGCTGAAGAAACATCTTAGCAAGTTACAATGGGTGTCGCTAGTAGTGCTGTTTATTGGTGTAGCAATAGTACAGACACAACCTGATAACACAGCCAAGTCTACGGGAACCACAGGATCTACAGCAGTGGAACAGAATCCAACCCTCGGTCTCATCGCCGTCATCATCTCCTGTTTAATGTCAGGCTTTGCAGGTGTTTATTTTGAGAAGATCCTCAAGGGCACAAAACAATCAGTATGGGTACGGAATGTTCAGCTTGGGTCACTTGGCGTTGTCATTGGACTGATAGCAATGTACTTAAAAGATGGAGAGAAGGTGGCTGAAAAGGGTTTCTTTTTTGGGTATGACTATGTTGTTTTCATCGTCATCTTCATTCAAGCTTTTGGAGGTCTACTTGTAGCTGTTGTTGTTAAATATGCTGATAATATTCTGAAAGGATTTGCCACATCGGCTGCTATCATCATGTCCTGCCTTTTGTCAATGTATTTCTTTGATTTCCATGTCTCTACCCCGTTTGCTTTGGGAGCATCTTTGGTAATGATATCCATTTACATGTACAGTAAATTTGTACCTGCTCCTTCCACTAAAGTTACCAGTGCGTAGGCTAATTAGGGTGTCTATTTTTGTTGATTTTTGGAGCGTCTTTGTTATTGTGTATCTGTGTACAGTAATTGTACTTTACATGACACTTATTGTTGGAGGAGTGACAATTTATCAAAATAACACTAGTTACAAAAGTTACTAATGTGTATTTTTGTGAGATTTTTGTGTTCATTTACCAAGATAATTATGCTTGAATTTAAATCCTCATTACAGGCATCCCTTGCATTGACAAATAATTATCGTACTGGCAGTCATGAGTTTGAAATGAAATTGCATTAACAGTTTATGGAATTTTTACTGTCAAGGGAATGGTTTTCTTTTTACTAGGTATAGTTCTTATTATGATAACTTGTTACCATAAATGTTAAAGGACACCTAAAATTTGTTTTACGTTGATCAGCCTCCTGATTGAGATGAAACAACTTTTCAAAAAATTTTAAAAGTCACAGGTAATATCTGTGAAAGACAGTTAATTCTATGAGTCAAAAGGAAATGTAGATAATTTAGACACAAGGTATTTTTTATTTAGATATAAATGTGTAGTTGTAGTAGACTTAACAGAGGGAGATAGATTTTACTTATTCAAAAATATGGATATATATTGTTTTATATATTATATAAAGGTTTATTGTGTACTTTCGTTTGTTTTCTATGTAGGTAGATACATGTTCATGTAACAAAAAAAATAGAAGATGTATAGAAAAGATCTGTTTGCTCAAACAAAATTTAAACTATTATTTTTATCATTTAATTGATTAAACTGATTTAATTATCTGTAGATGTAAAATGAATTTTCGGTGCCATGGTGATGGTTAATATTGACCAATCAAAAATATAAAAAAAAAAAAACCCCATCATTTTATGTACACTACAACGAAATAAAGGGAGGAGTGTGAGTATTATAGAAATGGGAGGTTCATTTATCATGTGACTGTGGTTTACTGAACTATTCCCAACCAATGCATCCGTGTATGATCTTGGTCATGTGATCATGCCGTACCTAAATCAGTAGCGAGTTTGTAGATCTGTTATGTGATGTCATTTTACAACGTTGAGTAATACTGCGACAATATCAACCTATTAAAACTTGGTCATATGATTAAAAAAATGGTACTTAAAGTCAGGTCTGTGCTTTACAGCTTAATGTATTTGGTGATTCTCTATTTTTCTTACTCATTTCATGATTTTCTTTTTCTTCTTTTCTATATTTTTTCTTCTTACATTTGTAGTGTTGGAGTTTAAAAGGATTCTATGAAAGGCACACACATGAAATTTGCATCTTTCAAAACATATGTAGAATCAGAGAGAGTAGAGGCAAATGAGGAATTACTAGTATTATACAGCATTTTAGTCCTTCAAGGACTCATCACTGATGCTGCATCATGTGACTCAAGTACTAGTCTGAATAGGGTATCTTTTTTTCTGTGTGTCTGTGTGTGGGTATATCTCTATAAACTTACACCTTATTAGTACAGAATCCATTCTCCACTAGGGCTTGTTTTGAATACATTCCATCAGCTAGGATCTAATAGATAAACCATTATATCAGATTTTGTTTTGGAATTATTTTCATTTTATTTTTAGTCATAATTATTAAATCCTGATGATAGGTTCGTAATCATTTAAGCTATATAGAAACTCTATGTTGTTTGTGCACCTTAAACTTGTCACTTTAAGTCATAAAAAGAAGATGAATAGATTACATCGATTTTGACAAAAGTCACCTTCAACACTATTACAAACTTAAAAGTTAAGGTCAGTTTCAGAGAATGTATAATTTGTAAAGCAATCAAACTTGTTATAAAGGCCAAAGGTGCGGGTACATTGAATGTTTTTTTATATTTAGTTTTTTAATTTAACTGCCTTATTTGTAAATTGGGTCTTTTGTTGATTTGAATAATTTTATCAGTATTTTTTCCATAATCTTATATCTTTAGAGAAATTTATATTTTAGTGAGGATTTGTGAATAGTGTATTACAACTGTGATCAGTATTAGTACAGTTTAGTAAAGTTTGGATATATTTACAGTGTCTCCATGGCTGTCTGTAGATATTTCAACCATACCTAAAACCATCACAAGCTTTCCTAAAAAAAAGCAATACAACACTGGAAATCAACTTAAAGTCATCATAGGATCATTTGTACAGTCAACATCTGGTTGTTAGTAAGTTTAGACGTTAAGGGTATATCCATACTGACATTTTAAAAAGTCAGATATGAAACTGGCGCTTGATTATTATGTAGACTGTAGCTTAAAGGCCTTTGATCAGATATAATACGGTACCTTCACTGGCTCAAGAGAAAAATGGTTAAATTTTCATACAAATAATGTTAGTTTGATTTTCATGTTAGTTTGATTTTCATTACTGTAAGAATGGGTTTCATTACTTTTAGTGTATTTTAGTGTAATATTCATTAATGTTAGTGTGCTTTTCTTGACTGCAAGGAATGTTTTCATTACAGTAGGTGTTTTTCCCCTTAATGTTACAGGGAGTTACTGATAATGCGTTAATTACTGTTTATGTAATTTTCATGAATGTTAGTGTGATTATCAGGACTGTGATTTTCGTGGCTGTAAGAGTGATTTTCTTTCATGTAAGAAGGTTTGTCATGATTGTTGAAATAACTGAGAAAGTGATTTGATGAGTGTTAGAGTGGTTTCTACGTCTGATAGAATGCCTTGTTCGTCAGTTTGGATGATCTTCATAATTGTTGGTGTATTTTTGTGAATGTTATTAATTTTCATGATCACCAGTATGATTTCAAGACTTTCAAAATACTTTTCATGATGGTAAGTGTAATATTCATGAAAGTTAATTTTTGTGGCCTAAGTCTGATTGTAATGACTGGTAATTTGACTTTCACGACTACTAGAGTGATTTTTACTGCTGTGAGAGTGATTTTTACAACTAACGATTTACGATTCCATCCACGGACAAGGATGAGAAAATAAGATACTGTTGTCAAGGAAGTTAATATAAAACAATGCCACAACCTCTCATTTGTATAGTTATACATAAAAATACACTGATTGAGAAAAAAAGTCATTTTTGAAATGAAAAACAAACTTGAGATGATCATAAACAAAACATTACATCAAGGGAAATCCAATATGTGTTATTTATCATTGTTTGTGTTGTTGCCTTCTGACCGTCCTGAAGACGCAAAATTTCAGACAGAAAATTCTTATTTACCTCTTTGGCCTTGTCCTAATAACAACCTTTCTGAAAGTCATATCAAATGCAGATTCATTAATATCCTAAATGTTCATACTTGTATTGTTATGTACTTGTTTATCTTAAAGAATTTATTTAGTGCTTATTATTCATAATTATTTAAATGAATACATTTTTTTTCATAAATGTGTAAATGAATTATTTTTGTATACTTCAGAAGTTATTTGGTTATGTTTCTTTGCTCCATATGTCAAATACAAATGTATTAGAATGTGTTGCCAGATTGTTATCTTTCTGTGATAAGAGTACAGGTCATATAAGTCAGAGCTATGATAAATTGTTTCTTAGGAATTGTATAGAAAACACTGGTCTATGTTATTTCTGTGTATATAGTGGAAAACCAGTGTGGAAGTTGTAGGAACTGAAACTACTGTAATTACACTACATTTTTGTTAAGGTTATATAAATTTTGGTGTATATCCTTTTTTCAGAATACTGCTGATGTTTGATTTCCATATTTATCTTGTAGGTGAATTTTGTAAAGGTGACTAGATATTTATAATGGCTTTTTTGTCATTACAATTAAAACAAAACATTCAAATTTTTTTAGGATAAACTACCATCATTTATGCAAATTCTGTGTTTATTTTGTTTGAAGAATGACTTGTGCAGCACCATGTGCTTTAGTGAACTAATCATTGCCAGTATTGTGAAAACAGTCAGGAAGTTAAGTCCCAAGCAGTTGAAGATACTTACGGTGAACATTTCTCATCTGTTTCATTTTAGCAATGGAATTTGACAAAGCGAAGACACAATCCTTGTTTTATATTATTTTGTATTTTCGTTTACCTTTATGTTTTGCCCAGTGTGCCTGTGATTTGTAAATCTGATTTCTTTAATGATTTTGTGTAAGATTTGATCTTCTTTTATCGTTTATATACAATACTTGGTAATTGCATCCTAATAATACTTTATCCCTGCCAAAGTTAACAGGAGACAATCATATCGTGTACAACTTTCCATTCTGGATGTAATTTTCGGGCTATAAGAATTGATTTGTTTTTTTCGTTCCAAAAACTTGGTCAGTTATATAAACATTGCATTTTTAAGGGCAGTTACCAAAATCATGTACATGTATCTATATATGGTTGAAGAGGTATATGTTAAAACAATGACCAGTAGATCATATTACATTTGTATTGTATTAGTGAACAGAATTCCATATTCATATGTAAATAAAGGGGAATATACAGAGAGGTTACATATGTGTATGTACTAATTTTTTTAACTCACCTGGCCTTTAAGGTCAAGTGAGCTTATGACATACCGTAGTGTCCATCTGTTTTGTAGGGAAGGTATGTCCAGGAATTTTTTTCAGGTTGTGGAATTTTCAGAAAAGTCGGTAAATTTGGGGTGTATTTGGACATGACAAAGTCCCACAAACCTTATGAAAGGATTTGAAAAGCTTCAGACATCTAGGCAAACAGTGATTAGATAGTCATGGGCAACACAGGAAAATTGTCGTGCAGATCATTAAACCTTTAAGAAACCATATTTGATTGCGACCAATTTGAATGATGTTTTATATTCAGCTACTGCATTGCTGTTTTCACATTCAGAAATTGGCACTAGTGGTTGTTATTTTGCTTTCATCAAATGACAAATGCCACAAAGAACAATATCCCTGATCTGATACAATAATTCTGGTAGGTCCTCGACCCTGATTACATAAATGTCCTAATTATAGATGAAACTATTGACAGAACTGTAGACACACCACAGAGCTTGCTCAAATCAGCACTCAACAAAAAATCCACAAAGCATACCACAAATAGTTATTACATACCAAAA